TATAGAAGAATTTGTAGTATATGCATCTGTGTTGTATGAGTTACGAGAGGCGGATTTTTCGCCATATGGGAGATCGTGATGCGATGTCGGGAAGTTGCAATAACACATTACAAGGGGGTGAACATGATCCAAATGAGCGATCTCGGTGGGAAAGGGCCGCCATTGCATTCACTTTGCTGAAGGCCAAAATCTCTTCAACCCCGATCCTCAAACATTTCGATCCAGATCGAATTCCTGTGATCGTGGTATATGCTAGTAAGTGGGAACTATCGACATCTCTACTGCAAAAATTATGACGGCGTATACTGGCCGGTGACATTGACTAGTCGCACATAGAAGCCTAATGAAGTTAATTATAGCATGGTGAAGAAATAAGTTTTAGCCCTACTCTGAATCTTGGAACTGTGCAACACCATGCTTGTATCCCGAGAGATCAGGGTGCTCACTCGATATTCGACATTTGCTTGGCTGGTTCAATCTTCTGGCCTCAATGGGAGACTGGGAATATGGGATGCGCTGCTATCGAATTGGACACTGGAAATCAAGAGATGTAACAAAGGAGAGGATGGAATACTAGGCGCTCTCGCAGCTAGTAAAACTCCGAGGGATGAGGTAGATGATGTGTTGATTGCAATCGCTTCACAGAAGAAACCTAAACAATTGGTAACTATGCTACCCTCCACGGTAGGTACGGATGAATGCCTGTTGGTGGTCAGTTTCGACGGATCGGCACGGACTAAACGGAAGAGCGGGGCATATAGTGTGATTGTGTGGAAGCTGCCAGAATGGACCATCATCTCAGCCGCTTCGGAACACGCGGCATATCTGACGTTGAATGCAGCAGAATATCGTGGCATGTTGTTGGGTCTCGATCTGCTGGACAACTAAACTTGGGGACGAGTCATTACATGTGGTGACTCGAACCTAGTGATCAGGCAGATGCGGGGAGAGATGGATTGTAAAGCGCCCGGGCTACAGTTTTTGCTTCATAAAGCAATGCAGAAACTTCGATCTCGGCCAAAACACGAGTTCCTACACATGAAGAGGGAGTGGAACCAAAGCGCGGATCGACTAGCCAGTGCAGCTTTGCAGCAAGAGGAAGGCGTCATTATGAACTTAGATCAAGATTGCAAGATTTGATATCACTCAACAGGATGCACGAGTTGCTTCTGCTGGAGAGGACGGATCGCGTGGTGAAAATGATAGCGATAACACGATCCGCGCGGCGAAGGCGTCAACAACCCGAATTTTTACAAGGATAAATAGTGCAGCGGATGCGGATCGAGCGAATAAAACAAGCGCAAGAGGAAGAGAGCTGAATCGCCAACCTGAAGGAATACATTGTGGGCTATCTGACCCAATTAAACGCAAAGAATGCAAAATTATGCACTCGGATTGCTCCAGACTACGAAGTGGACAAAAACGGATTGCTGTTCTTCAGCCCCCGATCAGCTAAGGAATCAGACGATCGTAAAGAGATGGTTTGTCTGGTTGTACCAGAAATGTTGCAGAAAGATTTTATGCACCATTACCATACAAGCTTGGAGGGTGGTCATCAGGGGATCGGGAGGACTTATCAGCGGATCAGATCCAATTTTCACTGGAAAGGATTGTATCGGAGTACGCAACGTTGGCGAATGCTTGGACTGTACAACGCAACGTTGGCGAATGCTTGATCTGTACAACCGGGAAGGGTCTACCCGCCATCCGCGGCAGATCCCCGGGAACATACAGGCTACTTAACCATTTCAGGTGATCGCGATGGATCAAATCCCATCATTGCCGCGGTCATTTAAAGGAAACACAGAAGTGCTGCCGTGGGTAGATCTTTTCTCAGGGTATGTGATCGCGAGAGCAAGTTCGTCGAGGACCGCGCAAACGATTTCTGAAGGATATGAAGAATGTATGTTTTGAAGATTTGGAGCCAGTGAAGTTTTACGTCACGACAAGGAGCCTGGATTTATGTCCGAATTTTCTCGCGCATTTAAATTGGATCGCAGGGCAAAAGCAACGTGCGACCATGACGTACCGACCACAAGCGAACGGAACTGCAGAGCGTTTGGTACAGACGTTGACTCGTTCGATTAAGATGTACGTCACGGGCGTAGAACAGAAAGACTGGGATGAATATTCAGAAAGATTAATATTCGCTATGAATACGGCACAGGCTCCGGATCCGTGGAGACACTCCGTTCTATTTGATTCATGTCTGGGATCAAGATCGACATTGGAAGCAACATTACCGTTGGGGATCACTAAAACACGCGATGCTGACCCTAAAAGGTGGCGATATAGCGTCCAACGTCAACATCAGAGGGCAAGGGCCGTGGTAAACGAACGTCTCAAGATCGCGATCCAAGATCTAGCGGATCGACACAATGACAATAATGAAGTGTGTGATATTAAGTGCGGATCGCAAGTTTGGCTCTACTTGGACCGATTCAAAGACGGCTATGCTGTAAGTTAGCACATATGTGGCATGGACCGATCCTAGTGGCGGAGTTATGTGGAAAACATGCTCTTCGGGTGGAGATTTCATGAACTCCATACCGATTGTTCTCGAAAGTGCACGTCTCCAAGTTAAAGCCAGGTCACATTTTCATGATCGCCCAGGCTGTGTGCTAATGACTAACTGTAAGGATCGTGTTGATTTCGATGAGTCGTTGCTATCGGAAGATATTTGGATAAATGAGTTGGCTGCTGACGAGTACGAAGTGAAGAAATTTTTTGATGTACGATCAGGACGTAAAACTTGGTTTGGCCGAGTGCATCGACAGTTTTTGGTTCAATAGAAGCAACACGTCGATCCGACCTAAATAGATGAAGCGGACCTGAACTGTGGCGCGTTGTTGCAAGATTTCGAGCGCAAACGTGCGAGTCAAAACTGGTTTGAAGTTATGCAGTCCTATGAGGAGGAAACCGAAGCTTAACGGGTAATCGAAGCGATGAGCGGTTGGCTCATGCTAAAAGGTGGACGTGAAATGGTGGATGGGCATATGTACAGGAAGGTTGTATGAGATGATGGATCGGGGCTCTGTGTGAAATGAGTGGCGATACCGGATCGAAGGGATCCGACTGTGGTTGAAAAGCCGAAGAAAAGAAGTTGATCTCAAAATGAAGAACAAGATGAAGGATTAAAAGAGATTATATTGAATTATAAAACTATGTGAATTTAATCCTAGCGATCAATCTGGAAAGAAATTACCTGGCAATCGTACGATCGATGATCCGGGGTGGTCAGCACTAGAGGATCGATACTGGGAACGCCAAGGTAGCGGCATCTAGCAACCGGAGAGAACCGATCAAATTGGGGATGCCCTTCGGTTTGCATCCCAGGCCAGGATACCAAGAGGAAACCTCTCGGAAGGAACGGGAGTGCTGAAAGAAGGGATCCAACGGACTTTCCAGGTCACAATGACCTGCGACATACCTTGCAAGGTGAATCGATGGATCGCCTTCCACCGAGGCCCAGCTCGCGACCGACCCTGTAACGGGGCACATTGAAGCTTGTACTGGTGACAGTACAAGCTACTTATTCTGATAACAGAATAAGGCGGTGCCTCGTAACTTCACGTACACTCGTACGTGCAGAGGAAGACGGTAAGAAGAAGCGAGTACTTGGTTAGAGTAAAAAGTAGAACTGTCTTTATCATAGTTAATGTCTGCAATAAATCACTATTTATCTTCATCTAACTATGTCTAAATACAAATGTGTAAATCAGTTATCTGCTCACCACTCATTGCGTGCGTCTGTCGTGGCGCGTCTTCGTTGGTTGATATAATGGCCTATATCAACCAATTAGGAACTACTTGGAAGTGCTACAGAATATTGTCCTTATGACAATATTCTGAGAATATAACTCTTATAGTTATATTCTATTAACAATTTCTTATAAATTGTTATGTAACGATTCACCCCGTTACATCACCCCCCTTAACCATCAGTCACTTTAGTGACTGATTGACTAAATGGATACTCGTCCCAAATCATTTGGGACGGGGTTTGCACTTGTTGGTCCGCGTCCACTTTCCAACATCTCATCGCATGGTAAACAAGCCCATGCGATGCGCGAGCAAGGCCGCCGAGAGCGCGTCTGCACGTCTCTGTGCGGACGCCGAAGCAGAAACTACAGCAACTGATATCCCATCGGTTGCTGAATCGACTCAGCCTGTATCACCTGGTGATGCAGGCGCTGGTCATGAAGACACTCGTGTCTTCACAGAGTACGAGCTCGGTGTCTCGTACTCTCCTGATACGGATGACGGATCCGTATCGACGGCAATTGAATCCAAGCCGCCTGCCAAGCGTGGCATGGACGATGCTTTGCGTCGCAGCATCTTTGGTTCATCTGATGAGTCAGATGAACCATCGCCGAAGAGAAGGCGCTCGAGGTCGCGAGACTCGGGCGCTAATAGTGGTGTCGTTTCTCCAATGGACACCACTTCACAGCGAGGTGCCAGTACTTCTGTCGGCACGTCGCAGGAAGAGCGGGACCGCAATGTGTTGCGTCTCGCTCCAGAAAAAGAAGGCATGGATGCCTCCTAAATCTGTCATGGATCACTTGTCGGCGACGACGAGTGATCGTTATCGAACACGATTGTTCGATTCGTCAAGGATTCATCACCTTGACCCCAGCGCGAAAGACTATCGCGCTGAACATGAGTTCTTCATCGATGCTTTCTTCAGACATCGATGGTACAGTGGGAATCACAAACGTGATGGTCCCTCACTACTTCAGGCGTGGAACGCCTACATCCATAATCTCGAGGATGTAGGTCGTGACGCTTGGAACGACAAACTTATCAAAGCTCGTGATAAGTTTGAAAAGCGAACCCCGACAGGTGCACGCTACAAGCTGCATCGTCTGTCAAGGGAGAAAGGATTACCCTGCCTCTCTTGGGGAGACTCGTGCCCATGTTGTGTGAACAACTCTGCACGAGCACCTAAGGAGGCTTACCTCCTTACCAGCCCGTGGTGGCGCGTACGTGTCTCTACTGAGATGTACGAAGGGATTGACAACCTGAAATCCCTTTACGACCGTGCCGGGAAGACTTTCTCCGGCGGTCCTTCTGCGGCACAGGATGTGTCGCGTCGTACTGCTCGACCAGACCCAGTACGTCAACCATCAATTGGGAGCGGGGCTCCCAAGAATCCCAGGACGGGGGATAGCCGCGCCACCGGACGAGGTAACTCGTCCGACGTCCGTTCACGTCGCGGTGGTTCAACAGCTGCTCAACTAGATAGCGCTGGCCACCGCGAGAGTCCTCTAATGGAGGTGGAGGAGGAGGAAAGACGCTCTCCACACAATCATGTGGATCGGTGTGTTCCCGAGAGCTTCTTTGATCGCGTAACGCAAGGGTTACGCGACGATCTCGAGCATGAGCGGAATAGGCGTCTCCAGATGGTGGACACTGCCTCGAAGCATCGAGCTGAGTTTGCCTTTGCTCAGCTTGAGAACGAGAGATCTCTGACATCTCTTCGTGACGAGCTAAGGGTAGCTCGTGGGATTGTTGATCGGTCTCGGGCTGAGATAACTGCTCTTCAGACCCTTGTTGATGCCCACCATCGGGAGCACAAGGCTCTCTGCGAGATGCTTGAGCGCAAGGGCGTTCTTCATCGGAAGAAGCAGCGTACTGATGGTACGGCTTAAGCCGACCAACGTAAAACGTGGGATGCGTTCGCATCTTACGTGGTAACTCGATCGTGTATGCATTGCCTAGGCGGTGCAATACACGAAATGGGCCAATGTACTTGGGTAGTAGTTTACTGCTACCCAAGTTAGTCACTACATGCTTTGGTAGATTAACCGTAGACAGTAGGACTAAGTCACCTTTATTAAATAAAAGAGTGTTTGCCCTTCCATTCTTGTCAGCGTTTTGCTTTTGCTTATCCACCGCTTCGGCGATGGAGTCTTGCACAAAACGGACTACCGTTTCACGAGCCAGTATGAACTCATCTGATGACTCGTTAGCTTCAGTGTGCTGTGAGCGCACTGCAGCGACAACAACCTTTTCTTCAGTGAGGGCTTCCGCACTCTCACTGGGATCATTGTCTTCAGTGAGGGCTTCCGCACTCTCACTGGCATCATCTTCTTCGATATCGATGTTATCGATATCGGCATCAAACGCAATGACTTCTTCGTCAGAGCGTGATGAGCGTGAACCAAATCGGTTTTTGCTCGCGCGAGTCCCTCCCCCCTTAAACCAGAGTTACACTCTAGTAAGGTGGGTACACGCGGATGGCGCAAGCCATTCACGTAAAACGGTGTATGTGTCGTGGACGCATGCACCGAGTTGTTGATGGCAAACTCTACCATCGGCAAAAACTCACTCCAACTCTTAAAGGAGTGTACGTATCCTCGAAGTATCTCTTCAAGGACACGATTGGCACGTTCCGTCTGACCATCTGACTCTGGATGATCAGATGTTGACATCTTCAAGCGCATTCCGAGTGATTTGAACACGGAACGCCAGAAATCAGCAGTGAATCGTGGATCTCTGTCTGATACGAGTTCACGGGGCAACCCATGAAGTCGGAAGATGGTGTCAATAAAGACACAAGCACAGCCACTTGCCGTGATTGTCTCTGGTACAGCCACAAGGTGTACCATTTTGCTGAATCTGTCAACAAATACGAGAATACCCGTATTCCCGCGTGCGTCTTTGGGTAACCCGAAGACGAAATCCATTGAGATGGATTCCCAGCACTCAGCCGGAACCGGTAGAGGCTGTAAAGGTGCACGCAGTGAAGGACTTGACTTCACTCGTTGGCAGACTTCGCATGCGCGAACATACTTTCGCACAAACTGATACTGGCGGGGCCAGTAAAAGTCTCGACTTACCGTGAGATATGTTTTCTCTCGGCCACGATGTCCTCCTATAGGAGCATCGTGATACTCGAACATGATCCGCAAACGCAGATCAATATCATCTGGAATGACAACACGTGGTGTGTCACCAGAAACGGCTGTATAGTACAGTAAACCGTTACGAGTAGTGTATCGATCTGATGCAGATCGATACGCAGACGACAATCGTTTCAACGATTCTCGAGATGGTTGGGAGAGATGTGACAACAACTTCACTATCTCACCATCTTGGGCGTATGCCCGCCTCACATCATCATACAACGTTGTAGATGGAACTGAGGACGTCATAACCGCAACAGTGACTGTCTCACTGTTGGGTTTCGCGACTGTTTCAAAGTCGGGACGACGTGAGAGTGCATCAGCGACGACATTAAGTCGTCCTGGTTTGTACTCGACCGTAAAGTTGTATTCTGCAAAGAATGACAACCACCGCGCCATTCGTTGTGAAAGGTGCGGGCTGTTCACTGCCGTGCGTAAGGACGCATGGTCAGTGTAAACAACGAAGGGTCTATCTCCTAATAGATAGACTCTGAACTTCGCGAGTGCATACTTCATGGCAAGGAGTTCCTTGTCATGCACTGGATAGTTCCGCTCAGCTGGTTGCAGCTGACGCGACTGATAGCAGACGACGCGTTCAACGCCTTCAAGGTCGTACTGCATTAATGCACAGCCGATTGCGAAATCGCTGGCATCACAGACCACATGAAATGGCCTGTCCTGATCGGCTATTGCTAGGACTGGGGATTGTATCAAGCTCTGCTTGATACCCTCAAAGGAGCGTTGACATTCAGCGTTCCATAACCACCTCTCGTTCTTTTTCAACAAACGAGAGAGGTGTACAGTCATCTCGGCGTAATTGCGTGAATACTTATGCAAATACGCCGCTAGCCCAAGGAATTTTCGAAGACCTTTGACATCGACCGGCACGGGCCAGTCGGTGATCGCCTTGATCTTTTCGGGATCAGGACGTACACCGTTCTTACCAACGATGCACCCAAGAAGTGGTATTTCGCTTGCTGCAAATATACACTTCTTGAGGTTTACATACAATTGATGCTTTCGCATGATTGTAAGAACTTGTCGGACGTGGTACTTGTGAACCTCAACGTCCGACTTTCCATCCATAGCTCGACTATGGATGAATACGTCATCGAAATAACTCGGCGCGAATTCTCGTACTGGCCTCAACAGATGTGATACACACCTGTTGAACGTGGCAGGGGCATTACTGAGCCCTTGTGGCATTACTAGCCATTCCCAGAGCATGCCGCTAGGCGTGCTAACTGCGGTATAGGGTATATCCCGTTCCGCATTAGGATTTGATAGAAGCCATCCATCAAATCCATGGACGAAAAGATGGTACTCTTTGACATACCATCAATGATTACGTCCTTCCTCGGTATCGGCGTCTGAGCCGGTACCGTTGCAGCGTTCAATTTGTTAAACGCGTGCACTATCCGCCACCCTCCTGTTGCTTTTCGCACACAGAAGGTCGGAGAGCTATGTGGGGAAGTTGATTCCCTCACATGGCCCGCTGCTAAACGATCGGCAAAGAACTTGTCGATCGCAAGTACTGTTCACGAGGCAGTGGCCACTGCTTCATGACACAGTACTTCGAGCCTGGTTTAAGCTCGACTTCGTGTCGAATACCTTTATCCTTCGGTAATTCGCACGGAACAGTTTCAGGGAATACATCCTTGAATTCAACCAAATCTTCATAGAGAGGATTTTCCTTGAGCGATTCCCACGATTGGGACTCATATCGCTCAATTCGTGTCTTTTCATCTAGGACACTCTCGTCCATAGATGAACTACTGAGAACTCTCTCGTTCTCAGTAAACACTGTTGCTGACCTTATGTCGGTTACATACTCGTCTTCAGCGACGAGTATGCAGATCTGCTTGACTTTGCCACTACGCAGATCACGCAAGAATCTTTTATGTTCGAGCGTTGGCAACTGAGTGATCTCCGAAGTTAACTTCGGAGGCGCAATCAGATCAAGTGTATAAGCGCCTACACATGATCCGTTATTGACTATGACATTCAATGTCTCTGTCATTTCCTGGGGACTTATTCCCTCAGGCTTCGAAGGACTTATTCCTTCGTCTTCCCGGGGACTTATTCCCGCGGGTTTCGGGGAACTTATTTCCGCCGTATTTGTAATCTTGGGACTTATTCCTTTAACTTCCTCTAGCTGGGGTTGCGCAACCACAGCGAGATCCTCTACGAAAGAATCTCCAGTCGATCTAGGATTATCGTTTCGCTTAACCTGAGCGATCGATTGTTTCTCTTCTAGATGTTCCCCGCTAGGGATACATCTTTGTCCCAGTCCACTCGACTTATTCGAGTGGTGGACCTTCGGCGCAGCCTGTGTTTCCTCACAGCCGCCGGAACTTTGCTCCGAAGTGTAACCGTTTGTTACACTAAGGTTTTGTGCAGTCGTACTAACGACCGTACCACAAGTGAGGCCATCGCACTCACTCGTAGTACATCCACACGCTTGTGGAAGCTCCAAAACGTTCATCAGATGGCCATCTGATGAACAAGCGGCAGGCATCGTTACTGTCCGATGTTGCCAGTTTACCCGTGGTTCGTACCTTCTGAGCCACGGTATTCCAAGGATGACATCAAATTTGTCATCCAAATCCAATACGATAAAGTCATCGTCGTATTGGGTATCTTATAGCGTATAGTGAATCTTCACTATACGCTTCATGACGGTTACGGATGCGCCTGTCGCAAGACGTACCGTCATCCTCGTAGGAGGTGTGTCACATTCACTGATCTTAAAGTGACCATCTTCTAGCGATTGGCGTCGCACAAAATTGTTGGACGCCCCACAATCGACTAGAGCTCGAAGGGACAACTTATTCGTCACTTCGAGTTTCAAGGTAATGAGTGAGATCTCATTACCTAGAGCAGCAACGCACAATGTCTGTGTGTTGGGAGCAACCTTCATCAAGAGGCCTACAAATTCTCTTGACGTTGCTGGATCAGTAGGGTGCTCCGCACCTACTGATCCTGTCCGTTTTTTTTGAGGGTCCATTCCGTTGTTGCGTCTTTGCACCAACTGCGGACCCTCGTCCCTGCCCCTTTCTCATGGGTGGACGGTCACTACGCCCAGTGTCGCGAGACACTGGACGAGGGGCACTACACTCGTAAGCGTAGTGTCCTGTCTTTTGACATCTGTTGCATCTCTGCAACTTCTTGTAGCCTGTAGAGCGAGCCTTCTCGCTCTCTACATAACAGAGTTCCATCGGCTCTGGACCTCCGTTGTCATATCGTCTCGGTTGACGATATGATGTCGAGCTGGCGCGAGCCTGTCTCAGACTGAAGTCTTCCTGCTCCGCAATTGAAATGGCTTGTTCTAGTGAATCTAGTTCAAGCCGGAACAGGTGAGTCTTGACGGGACCATCCGCAAGACCCTGCATGAACACCGAAACCAACGTGTGTTCATCCACCGGATTGGAACTTATACAACTCGTGAGATGTCGTATATGTTGCGCGTAAGCGTGCACATCACGCTTACCCTGCTTGAGCTTCAAGAGTTCGGTTCGAGCTCTGAACTCAGCTCTAGGCGGTTCAAACGTTTGTCTGAGCCGCGACTTGAAGACTTCCAGCGACCCAAACGCATATGGGTCGTGCAGCTTGAGTCCCAAAGCCCAAGTCTTGGCACGTCCTGCCAGATTTGACTGGGCAAATGCAACTTGCATATCCCCGTCGTCGATGCGACGCGCCCTTATGGCGTCATCCAATTCGACGAACCATCTCAAGAGGGAGTCTTCTTCGACCCCCCTATACTTTGAGATGTCAATCTTCAAAGTCTCGGGCCGACGCGAGTGCATCGACCCGCCAGCAGCAGCCTGCTGCTGTCTCAACAGTTCAAACTGTTGAGCACCTTGTTCTCTCAACAACTCTGCTTGTTGAGAACCTTGTTGGTGAAGCAAGGCTACTTTCTCGCGTTCTGCGTCAAGTTCATTTTGAATGAACTTGGCGATAGTAGCATGTTGGGCATCTCTATTGAGAGCCTCTAGCATGACGCTAACAGCATGGATGCCCATGGTCGAACCCATTCGTTCAACCGCATCCCATTCGACATCGCTCAAATGGGAGTAGCCGTCACGCGTAGCGTGAAAGCTTTGGTCATCTTCATCATCCAACATATTCATGTTGGATGTGAACGCGGTCCTTGGACGGACTACGAAGTGCTACCAGGTGTAACGGGGCACCCTGAAGCTTGTACTGGTGACAGTACAAGCTACTTATTCTGATAACAGAATAAGGCGGTGCCTCGTAACTTCACGTACACTCGTACGTGCAGAGGAAGACGGTAAGAAGAAGCGAGTACTTGGTTAGAGTAAAAAGTAGAACTGTCTTTATCATAGTTAATGTCTGCAATAAATCACTATTTATCTTCATCTAACTATGTCTAAATACAAATGTGTAAATCAGTTATCTGCTCACCACTCATTGCGTGCGTCTGTCGTGGCGCGTCTTCGTTGGTTGATATAATGGCCTATATCAACCAATTAGGAACTACTTGGAAGTGCTACAGAATATTGTCCTTATGACAATATTCTGAGAATATAACTCTTATAGTTATATTCTATTAACAATTTCTTATAAATTGTTATGTAACGATTCACCCCGTTACAGACCCTGCTTCCGCTGTTTCAAGAACTGGTCCAGCTTAGGATCGCTGTCCCGCGATTCACTGGAAAGGAAGATCGCGTGCGTCGACTCCCACAAAGCTTGTCGGTTTCGATCCTCAAACTTCAAGTATAGAGAGTCGAGCTGGTCGAACCAGCCGGTACGAGGGAAGGAGATCGGCGCAATTGATCACACTCAGCGGATCTGGAGGATAGAGAATCCTGCGCCTCGCCCAGTTCGGCCTGAAGCCCCGATACCTGCTTGAGCGCGCGACTCAGCTTTTCCTGGTCGGCCTGGAGACCCGCTACTTGTTTGAGTGCACGACGCAGCTTCTATTCGAGTTGAAGGCCAGTCTTTTTGTACTTCGACTTCTTGCCGTTGGCCTTGTCCAGGCTGTGGGACAACTTGCCGCATTCAGCCACCAACCGATCTCTCGCCTCGTCTATCTGCTTGCGCATCCCGGCGATCTTACGATCGGCTTTCTCCTGTGTGGCATGACTTGCTCGCACAGTCCGGAGAATTACAGATTTCAGATGCTCGATCAAGACATTCTGGTCGAATTGGTCGGCCAACGCCTCCCGAAAGGCTTTGTACTGCTTGACCTCGTCTTCATAGCGAACGCGCAAGCGGTCGTGCTTCGATTGGACGAAGTGAACGAAAGGGAACGCAGAGGTGCTGAGCTCCTGAAGGTCCTCACTCAGCTGGCGATTCTGGATCATCTGCTGCTCCAAAGCAGCCTCCATACTCTGGTACCGATTCTGGACAGTCTGTTGGAGGTTCAGGCGAAGGTAAAGCGAATCAATCGCTGCGTTAACGTGGCTCGATCGACCGAACACGAGGCTTCGATCCGATTACTTGGGAGCAAGATGGGCTCAATCGGATCCGGAGTTGGGACTTTTTGGCCGGCGGAGGTCCTGTCCGGAGCGGAGATCGAAGAGGATCGCGACATAGATTTCGAGATCGAAAACCAACCAGAGCCTCCCCCCATTAGGGCCGACGTCACCACAGCCGAGCGATCACACTCGGTCACCGGCACGGTGGAGGCGTCTGAGATCGCAGGACTGGTAGGCGTCGAGGTTCCAACATCTGAAGTTGGGTCGCAGAGGGCGATCCGAGAAGCCCCGATCCTGAAGCAGGAGGCGATACCTGATCTGGATGGTCTGGATTGGACATCGTGTCAGAAGATACGTAAGTGCGTGAAAAGGAACAAAGCACACAAGGTTGCACAGCCAGATCAACACCGTAAGATGAATGATGGTGCAGGGGACGGTTGTGGTAAAGCGGTCATAAGTAAATTTCTTTTGGAATTTGGATCGGCGATCGCACGGGTCGCACGCTTCAGTTAAGCCAAGAATGCTGTGATTGGTGGATACAGGCCGGGACGGATAGCTGGCAATAGCGTACCCAAACCCCAAGTGGACAGGATCGTCCAGCCTGGGACGAGGCTATAGGGTGGTCACACCCGTTTTGATTACGCAATCCGTCGGGACATGGCAAGACAAGACCCTCGATCTCACTGGAAGACCGCGATCCTAACCCAGGATCGCAAGTCCGATCTCAGCTGCGATCCGCTAGTAGTATCACGATCCGCTAGTAGGATCACGATCTGCTAGTAGGATCACGATCTGCAAGTAGGAATACGATCCGCTAGCAGGATCATGGGGATGTCTTGGGTGGGCCACAAGAAGATACAACTGCTGATATACTGGGTGTGGACCACACAAATGCGAGGAGACGATCTTCCTGGAAAGGCGACGCGTGGCATCTGGTTAGGATATACGGATATGCATAAGGGTAGGGTTTAGGTTGGTTGGTTGACATCAAACAGAGTTCAAATTACTTCACGAGGCACGCGTTATCTCTTCCGGGTAGGATCTTTGGCCCCCCGTTGAATAAAAGAGTCGCGGTACACGTCTACGCAAGTGTCACACCTGAATTGTTTTGGCCAGGTGTGTTCAAGAACTCTCAAACAACATCAACTGCGATCAGACGCAGCAAGACACGTAAAGGCAAGACGCAAGATCGCGAGACGGCTCAAGTGGTCAGAATGCTCGTGGATCAAGCAACCACATAGTGGACTAGGCGATCTCGTTGAGATCAGGGTAACTTATATAAGTACCCACAAGTACCCCGTGATCGCGTGAAGATTTCCGCACGATCACAACCCCATACCCAACACGGTCAAGTTTTCCTTCGACACGAGTCCACCTGAAAGAGTGCAAACCGCCCTACCGACGGGTGAACAAGGTGAGGAAGGCAGCACACACGGAATCGGAGAACCCCCTCCGTTAGTCGGTCGTCCGGGCGCCAGTGGAGAGTTAAGATCGACTCCTAAATTGAGCGATCGCAACTCCACCACACCTTGGTTTGTACTTTCTGAACCAAGGCAAACCTAAGATGACATTAAACTTGTCAACCAAGTCTAGCAGGACGAAATCGTCATCGTACTGCAAATCTTCTAGCGTGTAGAGAAGTCCACTACACGTTTCATCAAAGTTATCGATGCGTCTGTTGCTAGGTGCACCTTCATCCTCGTCGGAGGGATGTCGCGCTCACCAAAATTGAGCCTACGTTCCTCTAGTGAATGGAGACGAAAAATGTTGCTCGATGCCCCACAGTCTACGGGGGAACGAAGTGACAAATATTCTACCACTTCTAAGCTCAAGGTGATGATGGGGGGTACATCGTCAACAAGTGCAGAGACACACATTTATTGAGAGTCTGGAGCTACTTTAATCAAGAGGTTATCCAATTCTCACGAGGTCGTTGGATCAGCAGGGTGCTCCGTCCCTACTGATCCTGACCGTTTTTTTTACGGTCCACTACGCTGTTGCAATTTTGCAATAACGTTGGACCCGCTTCCTTTGCCCTTTATGGCAAATGGTGTATCAGTTCGCTCAGTATTTCAAGACTCTGGGCCTAAGGTGCTACACTCGTAAGCGTAGTGTCGCAACTTCTGACACCGAATGCAATTCTGCAATCGCTTATTGGCTGAAGAACGAGGTCTTTCGCTCCAACATAATATGTGTCCATAGCTTTTGGACCTCCTACTTCTTGTCGTCTAGGGAGACGATATGAAACCAAACCAGCATGGGTCTGTATCGAGCTAAATTATTCCTGTTCCGCAACTGATATTGCTTCTTCTATCGTATCCATTTACAACTGGAACAGGTGAGTCTTGACGGGACCACCTACAAGACCCTGCATGAACACAGCTATCAATGTGTGCTCATGAACGGTGTTGGCCGTGATGCAACTCGCAAGTAGTCGTATGTGTTGGGCTTAAGTGTGCACATCACGCTTACCCTGATTGAGTTTCAGGAGCTCTGATCGAGCCCTAAACTCAGGTCTTGGTGGTTCCAACGTTTGTCTGAGCCGAGTCTTGAAGAACTCCGACGACCCAAACACATATGGGTCGTGCAACTTGAGCCCTAATGCCCCGGTTTTGGCACGTACAGCCAGGTTCACTGATCAAATGCGACTTACATTTTCTCATCGACGATGTGACTTGCCCTTATGGCGTCGTCCAACTCGACGAACAATCTCAGAAAGGAGTCTTCCTCGACTCCTCTTTACTTTGAGATGTCTATCTTCAAAGTTTCGGTTCGACGCACGTGCGTCGACCCGGGAACAGCAGCATGTGCCTGCTGTTGCCTCAGCAGTTCGAGCTGTTGAGCACCCTATTCTCTCAACAGCTCTTCCTGCTGAGAAACTAGCTGGTGAAGCAAGGTTACTTTCTCCCCTGACTCGTCCAGTTCATGTTGTATGATCTTGGAGACGGCAGCATGCAGTCGTCCATCTCTGTCCAGTGCGGAAAGCATGGCAGATAAGGCATGTTTGACTACGTTCAAATTCTTTGGTTCGAACGCACTCCATTCTGTGTCACTCTAATAGGAGCAGCTTTCACGCCACGCCTGAAAGTCATCATTTTCATTATCCAACAGGTTCATGTTGGATGTAGGGGTTGTGGTCCTTAAAAGTATATGTGCTAATACGAAGAGCTACCAGGTTTAACGGGGCACTGGTCACCAGTACTGCTTCAGTACTAGTTCGCCTAAACTGACAACAGTGTAGGTAGTGCCGCGCGCCACTTCACGTACACCGTACGTGTAGAGGAAGGCTATCTATTGAACGACGCGTTCAATAGGAGTAGAAAGCAAAAACTATATTAAAAGTAATTGAGTCCTAATCATTAACCTATGTTTGAGTCCTAACTTAATTATATTATCTACAAAGTGTAAGCTCGAGTCTTGCTCACTACTCATTGAGCGCGTCCATTGTTGATCAGATCGCTACAGCTGGCTGATATGATGGCCCATATCTTCCGATCGATTAGTGCTTTTAGATACACTCATGTTGGTAATATTTACAAACATATTCAACCTTCATGGCAGTATTTTGATCAACAAGAATTTAAGTAAAAACGTGTAACAGGCTCACCCCGTTACAATGACGACTTGGTCGCAGCCGCTTAGAGGCTTTATCGACTAAATTTTAGTTATGCCAGTCTCCGGACCTAATAATTGCATATTTGACAGCTAAGATTAGATTGTGTCCAAGCACAAATTACCTACACAAGTCCAGAAATAGAGACCACGTCGTCGACAGACATGCACAATACTGCAAAATTTGTTGAAATACTGCAATTTCCTACAAGAAGCTACACTACGTCCCTTAACGCATACTAATTACTGCGGTTGTACTGGAACCTCCAGGATTTATCTCCTTCATCAATCCAGTAACGTGCACTGGCGTTGGTCTCAAATCTTTAATACTTGCACGAAAGACGTTATCACGGTCTTGCAACGGAGTGAGCCTGTTACACGTTTTTACTTTGATACTTGTTGATCAGAAGACTGTCATAAAGGTTGATAATGTTTGTGAATATTGCCACCATGGATGTGCCTAAAAGCACTAATCGATCGGATGATATGGGCCATCATATCAGCTAGCTGTAGCGGTCCGATTAACAATGAACGCGCTCAATGAGTAGTGAGCAAGACTTGAGCAAGCACTTTTGTAGATAATGTAATTAAGTTAGGACTCAAACATAGGTTAATGATTAGGACTCAATTACTTTTAATATAGTTTTTGCTTTCTACTCCTATTGAACGCGTCGTTCAATAGATAGCCTTCCTCTACACGTACGGTGTACGTGAAGTGGCGCGCGGCACTACCTACACTGTTGTCAGTTTAGGCGAACTAGTACTGAAGCAGTACTGGTGACCAGTGCCCCGTTAAACCTGGTAGCTCTTCGTATCAGCACATATACTTTTAAGGACCACAACCCCTACATCCAACATGAACCTGTTGGATAATGAAAATGATGACTTTCAGGCGTGGCGTGAAAGCTGCTCCTATTAGAGTGACACAGAATGGAGTGCGTTCGAACCAAAGAATTTGAACGTAGTCAAACATGCCTTATCTGCCATGCTTTCCGCACTGGACAGAGATGGACGACTGCATGCTGCCGTCTCCAAGATCATACAACATGAACTGGACGAGTCAGGGGAGAAAGTAACCTTGCTTCACCAGCTAGTTTCTCAGCAGGAAGAGCTGTTGAGAGAATAGGGTGCTCAACAGCTCGAACTGCTGAGGCAACAGCAGGCACATGCTGCTGTTCCCGGGTCGACGCACGTGCGTCGAACCGAAACTTTGAAGATAGACATCTCAAAGTAAAGAGGAGTCGAGGAAGACTCCTTTCTGAGATTGTTCGTCGAGTTGGACGACGCCATAAGGGCAAGTCACATCGTCGATGAGAAAATGTAAGTCGCATTTGATCAGTGAACCTGGCTGTACGTGCCAAAACCGGGGCATTAGGGCTCAAGTTGCACGACCCATATGTGTTTGGGTCGTCGGAGTTCTTCAAGACTCGGCTCAGACAAACGTTGGAACCACCAAGACCTGAGTTTAGGGCTCGATCAGAGCTCCTGAAACTCAATCAGGGTAAGCGTGATGTGCACACTTAAGCCCAACACATACGACTACTTGCGAGTTGCATCACGGCCAACACCGTTCATGAGCACACATTGATAGCTGTGTTCATGCAGGGTCTTGTAGGTGGTCCCGTCAAGACTCACCTGTTCCAGTTGTAAATGGATACGATAGAAGAAGCAATATCAGTTGCGGAACAGGAATAATTTAGCTCGATACAGACCCATGCTGGTTTGGTTTCATATCGTCTCCCTAGACGACAAGAAGTAGGAGGTCCAAAAGCTATGGACACATATTATGTTGGAGCGAAAGACCTCGTTCTTCAGCCAATAAGCGATTGCAGAATTGCATTCGGTGTCAGAAGTTGCGACACTACGCTTACGAGTGTAGCACCTTAGGCCCAGAGTCTTGAAATACTGAGCGAACTGATACACCATTTGCCATAAAGGGCAAAGGAAGCGGGTCCAACGTTATTGCAAAATTGCAACAGCGTAGTGGACCGTAAAAAAAACGGTCAGGATCAGTAGGGACGGAGCACCCTGCTGATCCAACGACCTCGTGAGAATTGGATAACCTCTTGATTAAAGTAGCTCCAGACTCTCAATAAATGTGTGTCTCTGCACTTGTTGACGATGTACCCCCCATCATCACCTTGAACTTAGAAGTGGTAGAATATTTGTCACTTCGTTCCCCCGTAGACTGTGGGGCATCGAGCAACATTTTTCGTCTCCATTCACTAGAGGAACGTAGGCTCAATTTTGGTGAGCGCGACATCCCTCCGACGAGGATGAAGGTGCACCTAGCAACAGACGCATCGATAACTTTGATGAAACGTGTAGTGGACTTCTCTACACGCTAGAAGATTTGCAGTACGATGACGATTTCGTCGCGCTAGACTTGGTTGACAAGTTTAATGTCATCTTAGGTTTGCCTTGGTTCAGAAAGTACAAACCAAGGTTCAGTTGGCAGCATCGAACCGCAAAGAAGACTTCCAATTGATCATCACATTGCCATCTGATGAACGTATTGGAGAGTCCACAAGCGCGTAGATGTACTGCAAGTGAGTGCGATGGACTATCCTGCGGTACGTTCGTTAATACGACTGCACAAGATCACAGTGTGACAACCAATCACACTGTGGAGGGAGCTGTCGGCGGCTGTGCGGATGCACAGGCAGAGCCGAAGTTCCACCACTTGAAGAAGTATAGTGGATCGGGACATGGATGTACGCCCAGCGATCGACATTTAAGTAAGAACAAACCGTTTGTTCACATATGGCAACATGATGATCCTAGATTAGCTTGAGAGTCGATCGCAGCGGACCTAGCTGTGGTAGCGCAACCACATCTAGAAGACGTCGAGGGAATGAGTCCCCACGTAGTTGGGGAAGAAACTACTCAAGAAGTTATTGGTGAGGTAACGAGACCTCATCAACCTGAGGGAATGATTCCCTAGCAGCCTGTGTGGAAAGGTTTCGGTCAGGATGAAACCGAGGCATTAAATGTCTTGGTTAATAGACGGTTCAAGTGTAGACGCTTATACAACTTATCTGATCGTGCCTCCGAAGTTGGCTTAGGAGATCACTTGGCTGCCAACACTGGAATTGAAACAGTTCTTTTGAGATCTGCGTAATGGCAAGGTCAAGCAGCTCTGTATACTAGTCACGGGTAACGAGTACGTGAACGACATTTGGTCGACAGTAGTATTTGTCGAGAAAGAACAGGTTCTCAGTAGCACATCGATGAAAGAAAGTGTTCTCGATAAGAAGACTCGGATTGAGATCGAGGATACACGTCTTAATCTTTGAGTCGCTCCAGTCAAATCCTTTATACGAGAATTTGATCGACTTCAGGGACGTGTTTCTAGAATCTATACCATGTGAATTGCCAGAGGATAAATGCACTCAACATAATATCGAGCTCAAACCGGGCTCAAAGTACTGTGTCATGCAGCAGTGGCCACTGCCTCGTGATCAAGTACTAGCGATCTACAAACTCTTTGTCGATCTCTTTGCAGCGAACCATGTGAGGGAATCAACATCCCTCACAGCTCTCCGACCTTCTGTGTACGCAAGGCCACATGAGGATGGCAGGTAGTGCACGCATTCAACAAGTTGAATGCTACAACGGTCCCGGCTCATACGCCGAAACCGAGGAAGGACGCACTGATTGATGGTTTGTCGAAGAGTACCATCTTTTCGTCCATAGATCGGATGGATGGGTTCTATCAGATCCTCACGCGTGAGTAGGATATCCTTTACACAGCAGTGGTAACCCCCAGTGGTATGCTGTGGGAGTGGATAGTGATGACACAGGGGCTGAGTTAAGCGCCTGCAACGTCCAAAAGATATTTAACCAATCTGTTGGGACCGGTGCGAGATTTCGCACTGAGTTACTTTGACGACGTGTTCATCCATAGCCGAGCTATGGGTGGAAAGACGGACTTAGAGGTTCACAGAACACACTTTCTTCAGGATCTTACACTTAAACGAAAGAGTAAGTTGCATACCAGCCTCACGAAGTGCATACTCGCTGCTAGCAAAATGTCACTTCTTGGGTGCATCTTGGGTTTTCGCGCAACTACGCCGAGATCACCGTGTATCTCTCTCGTCTTTTGAAAAGAACGAGAAGTGGTCATGGAACGCTGATTGTCAGTGTTCCTTTGAAGTTATCAAGCATAGCTTGATGCGATCACCCGTCTTAGCGATTGCAGATCAGGACAGACCATTCCACGTGGTCTGTGACGCAAGTGATATCATAATCAGATGCGCGTTGATGCAGTCCGATGCAGAAGGCGCTGAGATTGTCGTCTGCTATCAGTTACGTCAGCTGCAAGAAGATGAGAATGATTATCCAGTGCAGGACCAGGAACTCCTTGCCATGAAGTACGCCCAGAAAATTTCGCGTCTATCTCCTAAGAGATGGACCGTTTGTAGGCTAGACGGATCATGTGCCATTACGCATGGCCGTGAAGATTACGCACTACTCGCAAAGAATGGATAGGTGGCTGTACTTCTTCGCGGGGTACAAATTCTCTGTGGAATACAAACCCGGACGACTTAATGTCGTCGTGGTAGTGTTTTCGCGTGACCCAACTTCAATTAGGCTGCACAGTCCAACAGTGGTGTTGATACCGCTGTTGTAGCACTAGTCACAAGTGTTCCGTTTTCAATATTGCTTGAAGATCCAAGAAAGGCATAACTAAGGGATAATGCTCTTCTGCGACTAATGAATCATCTGGTTACACCATCTTGTAAATCCCTTAAAGCTTTGCAGGCCTTGTATCGATCTTGCGCGGATTGACACAGCACTCAACTGTTTGCTGTGCTATACAGACGCTGCCGGCGACACACCTCTTGTCCTTATCCCCACTCACATCGATTTGCGCCTGCGCATCCTGTATGAGTATCATGATGCACCATCCAGTGGGCATCGAGGGCGCGAGAAGACTTATCTCAAGGTAATTCGAGTTTTACTGGCCCTGCCGGTGTCATTTGTGCGCAAGTACATTCGTGCTTGCGAGTTGTGCCAACGAGTGAAGCCAATTCCTTCATCCAGTGTGCCACTACAGCCTCTATTGATCCCTGCAGAGTGCTGGAAGTCCGTCTCGGTGGACTTAGTCTTTGATTTTCGCGAAGCCGCTCACAAGAATAATGGTATTCTTGTGTTTGTTGATCGCTTCAGCAAGATAGTACATCTTACTGCCGTTTTCGAGTCAATCACATCACAGGAATGTATCCATTTGACACGGTATTCCGACTTCACGGTCTTCCCCGTGAACTAGTCACTGATAAAAATCCTCGATTCACGGCGGCATTTTGGCAATCCGTTTCCGATACCTCAGAACACATCTGACTATGTCAACTTCTGACCATCCCGAGACAGATGGTCAGACCGAACTCGTCAACCGCGTCCTCGGAGAAATACTTTAAGGATACATTCAACATTTCACAGATTGGTGCGACCTTTTGCCGATGGTGAAGTTTGTTGTTGAAGATGAGCCTCTTCCAAAGAGCGACAAACAAAAGGTACAGTCCGGTGATTACTAGTGCGCCTATCTGATGAGTAATGTGTATAGAGTAGAATATTTATACGCTCACACGAGTAATATCAGTAGTTTGGATTACTCATGTGGGACTATCTGATGAGTAATGTGTATAGAGTAGATTACTCATGCGTGACTATACGATTTGTAATGCGCGATGTAGCGATAAGTGTCGTGTAGTGGACGAATCCAGTAGGCTTAGAGTAGCAACAAGTTTGTGAACTAAGGACCTAATTATAGTCACTTTGCATTTTGCCAACAACTGAGCACTTTACCTTTTAATAGGTTATGAGCCCAAGCCCCGTCTTCCCTGACTCCGACACCGACTTCTCCCTCGTCACATACGCCTCTGCTCCCAGCCGCATTAACAAGTTTTACGGAAGTAACTTTTACAAGTGGAAATTCAAGACGGATGTGGTACTAGAGGATAGTGACCTGTGAGAAGTGGTGAGGGGAGAGATCAAGGTGGAACAGTGCATTTTGCAGTTGGACCAGGCGACGTTCAAGCGCAATTCCCACAAGGCACTGGCAATAATTTGTCTCGCGATGAAGGATCCGCAGCTACCGTTGGTCCGGTCAGCGAATAGAGCGCATGATGCATGGTCGCGGCTGGAAGGACATTTCGAGAAGAAGAGCCTTGCAAACAATCTCTTTCTTCGTCGTTGCTTCTTTACGGCCAAGATGGAAGAAGGTGATGATGTGTTGAAACACATCAACAAGATCAAGACTCTGACGGAGCAGCTCGACGCAGTGAGCGCTCCGGGCAGCGAAGACGATCTAGTGATTACGCTACTCGCAAGTCGAAGCGATTCGTACGAATTCCTCATCACGGCGTTAGAGTCACGAGCCGACTTACTGTCGAGGGAGCTCATCATGTCTCGGCTGCTGCATGAAGATCTCAAGCGCAAGGAGCAAGGCCTTGAAGGAGCAGTGAACGGACAAGGTCAATCGTTTGTGAACCAAGACTCTGGTCGGCGCACTGGAAGACAAGCGCCAGCAAAGACAAGCAGCGCCTTTCATTACTGTGGGGAGCACGGAAATTCGATTTTCACGTGTACAGCTCGGATGAGGGGGAACGCAAAGCGACATCAGTCGCAGCGTGCCAACCTTGCGCAGAGGAACGATAACCAAGGCGACTACCTTACTAGGTTAATGATTTAACGTGCTCTGCAGAATCACGATGTGTGTGGCTGGTTGACTCGGGTGCAATGCAGCAAATGACATCCTCAAAAGAATTCATGAGGAAATTCAAAAAGATCAACGCTTTAGACGTGCAACTTGCTGACGGCGGTGTAGTTCTAGCGGTGGGAATGGGCGGCATCATCATGTCGATGAAGACGTCACGAGGAGTAAAGAAGGAAGTGATTACATCAGTGTGGCACATTCCCTAGCGAAGCCACTGACTAGCTCGTTGGTATTCTTGGGAACACCATTTGTACCTCTGGCACATTCGACTAGGTCACATTGGCTATGGCGGTCTTTTCATCATCGTCACTAAAGGCTGTGGCACTTGTATCAAGTTGACATCAGTTCGTAAGTGGGAGCTGTGTGATGGGTGTGAGCTTGGCAAGCAGACGCGAGTGAAATTCATGAAGTGTTCCCCAAATTGTGCTAAGGAAGTGCTTGAAGTGATCCACAGCGACATCTGTGGCCCGACGCGAACCGCGGCATTTTGTGGCGAGTGCTACTTCGTCACCTTCATTGAAGAGAAAAACGCACTATTGTGTTACCTACTTGCTGCAGAAAAATTAAGACTTAGCCGACAAATTTGCTCAATTTGTTGCGCTGGCTGAAGAACAAAACAGCATGCGCGTAAATGCGCTTCGGTGCGATATTGGCGGGGAATATAATTCAGGTTCGGTGGCCAAGTTCTGTGCATAACGCGGCATTATATAGAAGTTTACGCCTCCGTACACTCCCCAGCAAATGATGTTGCCCAACGCATGAGCCGCGCACTGTTCGAAGGTGGTCGCTGCATGCTGGAGCACGCGGGTCTGCCGAAGTCGTGTTGGAACAATCTATCATGACTGCGACGTTTCTCCGCAACCGATGTCCAACCCGTGCGGTCGTACATGATATGTCACAGAACCAAGTTTGGACTGGCAAGAAACCCATATTGGCGAACATGTAAGTCTTTGGTTGCCACGCGTACGTCCAAGTGCCTAAGGAAAAGCGCTCAAAATTTGATGCTCCCTCGGTCAGCTGTCGACTTCTTGGCTATTTTGGCACCGTCGCCGTTCAAAATGAAGAAGTGATCAATGAACCTTCGTCTAACCAACCAAGACACTGATGAAGCTGCGCACGGTCAAGATTTTATGTATGATAGCTCCAAGAATACAGCCTCAAGCCTCACCCGACGAAGACTTTGAGCCTGGAAGCAAGCGACATCAACGCAATCAGTCGCTTGAACAGGCAGTGACGATTCCCAGGGCCAAGAAAAAGAGTCTTCACAAATCGCCTGATGCGATGTCTGCGACGACTCAAGACTTTGAAGCTGCTTACATCTTTGATTCAGTGGGTGAATTACCGACTACGTTCAAGTTGGCTATGGAATCAAGAAACGCGGCCAAGTGGAAGGATGGATGCGACTCAGAAGTGGCATCATTGCGAAAGAACAAGACTTGGGAACTAGTGCCGTTCCCACAATCTCGCAAGGCAACAGGATGTCGATGGGTCTTTCGTATCAAGGAGAATCAAGATGGCGAAATCGATTGATTTAAAGCGCGACTTGTGGCCAAACGTTTTCTGCAGAAATGTGGCGTCGACTATGAAGAGACCTTTGCTCCGGTGGCCAAGTTCACGTCAATCCGGATCCAGATCAGTTTGTCGGCCAAGTACAGGCTGACGGTGCACCAAATGGACGTCAAGTCATCTTTTCTTAACGAAATGTTTGACGAAGACATTTACAAGGCGAAGCCAGACGAATACATCAACGAAGACCAGCCGGAATACGTCTGCCAGCTCAAGCGCTTTCTCTACAAAACAAAAAAAAATTCCCGCGCATTTGGAATTTAACCATCGACAAGTTTATGCTTGACATGGGGTTCAAAAGGTGTAAGACCGATCACTGCATCTACGTTAGGTGGGACGCGGAAGACACGATTTTTGTGGCACTTTACGTTGATGACTTGGTCCTCGTATGTAACAACGACAAAATGCTCCAAACGACAAAGAAAGAGCTATGCAGTCGATTCGAGATGACGGACCTTGGTCGGCTGAAATACTTTTTGGGCATGGAGATCGATCAAGATGTCACCAGTGGCAATGTCTCCATTTGCCAAACCAAGTTTGCAGCAGATATACTGGAAAAGTTCAGCATGGAGAACAGCAACCCTGTCGAGACACCGCAAGATCGCGGACTCAAGTTAATCAAGAACATGTTCGAAGGGGGATGCAACCATGAAACACTTATGGCACATATCCCGTACCTCAATGCTTTCGGTTGCCTCATGTATCTCATAATTGAGACTCGACCGGATCTTGCTGCCGTAGCGGGAGTTCTCAGCCAGTTTGATTTAAATCTGTGTCCAACACATTGGCAGGCACTCAAGAGGGTTTTCAGATACGTACAAGGGACGAAGACACACGGCATTATGTTTCAAGCCAAGGACCCAAAAGGAATTGAAGGCTATTCCGACGCGGACTGGGCTGGCAACATGGACACTCGACGAAGCACAAGTGGCTATGCTTCTTGATGAATGGCGAATGCATCAGCTGGAGAAGCAAGAAGCAGCGCACAGTTGCACTATCGTCAACGGAATCAGAATACATGGCGTTGAACGAAGCTGTCTAAGAAGCAATTTAGCTGAATGCGTTCCTGTGTGAGCTTGGCGAGATTTCACTCAACGAAACCGTCAAGATCCACGACGACAATCAAGGATCGATCGCGTTGGCTAAGAACCCGAAATGCTACAAGCGAACCAAGCATATCAATATATTCGTGATCAATATGTGCGGGAGAAAGCTGAAGACGATCAAGTGGTGCTGCAATACTGCCCGACAAAAGCCATGAAGGCCAACTTGATGACTAAGCTAAAAAGCGCGGGACAGTTTAAAGATCTCCGTAACAAGTTGGGGATCAAGTCACCAGTCGCTGCCGAGTCGAGTGGGAGTGCTGTTGATCATGCGCCTCGTCCAGAGAGCGACAAACAAAGGGTACAGTCTGGTGATTACTAGTGCGCCTATCTGATGAGTAATGTGTATAGAGTAGATTAAGCATACGCTCACATGAGTAATATCTTTTGTAATGCGCGATGTAGCAATAAATATCGTGTAGTCGAAGAATCCAGTAGGCTAAGAGCAGCAACATATTTGTGAACTAAGGGCCTAAACATATTCACTTTGCATTTTGCCAACAACTGAGCACTTTACCTATTAATACAGTTTGCCATCAACAACTCCATGCACGCATCGACGACGCATAAACCATTCTTCGGGAATCGATTACGCCATCCACGCCTGCCCACCCATTAATTGTGTGAATCTGACTTAAAAAAGGAAGCGATTCGCTCGTGCGAAAACCGTTGTGGCTCTTGTTCATCACGTGTCGACGTTCTCGAGGACGCGAACGTTGCCGATGCCGATCAAATCGACATCGAAGAAGATTACATCACTAATAGTGATGACGCTACTACTAACCCAGCGAGGGCGACGATGCTGGTATATTCAGCATCACTTATGACCATGCCAGCGAGAATGACGACACTTTCGCTGAAAAAGGGAGACAGCTCTTAGCAGTACGCACCAAGCGGACTGATACAAACAAAATACATTTAGCAGAGAAATTTCTGTCGACTCGAGAAGCAGTAGTCCGTTTCGTACAAGACTCCGTCGCTAGAGCGGTGGACCGGCAGAAGCGGAACTCTGACGAACATGGTCGGTCAAACGTTCTTCTATTTAATGTCCGAGACTCAGTTCCATTGTATACGCTAAATCTACTCTAGCACGTAGTGACTAAAGAGGGTAGTAGTAAGATACTACCCAAGTACATCGGCCCGTTTTGTGTACTACACCGCAAAGTAAATGCGTACACGATCGAGTTGCCTCGCAGGATGCGCACACATCCTACGTTCTCGGCCATCTCCGCCCGCACAATTACACGAGGTCTCTTCCTCGGGCGAATGCACCCGCCACGCTTAAGAATCTCCAAAAATTTCTTTTGTTCCAGGGTAAGTTTCTCAATCTAGCTTTGCAGTGCCGCATTCTGGCGACGAATGTCAGACACTTTACCGCGAAAAACTTGACGCCTAGTTCTACAATCGGAATAACTCGAGCTCCGCTCGGTCATCAGACGGATAAAGACGGATGCGTCGTACCCACGCATTCAAATAGAGACGCTCCTGTCTCCCTTGATCGGTGCAATCACAAAGATCGCGTAAACTTAGCCGAACACGATTTAGCTCCGTTGCAACTCCAACACATGATTTGGAGTTGATCTTCCCGCCCCCACCACAGCCTTTGGTGGACTCTCACGGTGGTCAATGCTTTCACATGGAGCGTATCTTGAACCACCGTGACACAAAGTGGAGGTGAACGAGTTACCTTGTTCGTGGCACGGATATCCGCTGTCGCACGACAGATGGACATGAGGCGCCCAGCTAATGATTGAAGTTGAGGTTCTCGTCCACCAGTACAATAAGACATATTCCATGGAAAAAAGTGCTATCGGAAACACGCGCAAATGGCGCTGGTAGAACGATTGAAGGTTGACAATCGCATTGCGCATGTCAAAAGAGATGTGGGACCTATCCCAGGGCGAAGATAGGGAGTGGACGTCCCTTTGGCTGCGTTGCGTGTTGTCGAAACATCACGGACATAGGCCGCCCCACGTGAGGCATGGAATTCCGGCATCACGGGACAGATGGTGCAAACTGACTCTTGCAATCATTAAAGCTCGTTTCTCAAACCTGACGCAAGCTGCGTCAGGTTTCCGAAGCCAGGCATCACGTCCATTGTGCTGCACACTGAGTATGAAGGCGTTCCGCGCCTGCAGCAACAATATTCTATCTCGTTAGTTTTTGTCGCTGTACCAACGGTGCTTGATGAAAGCATCGAGAGTTCTCTTCAGCTCGGAAGCTGCTCGCGCTGATGTCGAGGCCGTGCAACAGCCTTGCATCGAACAATATAATTCGATGGTTTAGACTTGTCTCGCCTGTCACGTCATTCACAAGCCTTCCTTGTAGAACTCAAGGCTTTTGTTTAGGGGCTACACGCAGCACATTGCCGTCTAGAGCATCGTTTGTGGTACCAACGGAAGTCTTGATACCAACATAATTGTTATCACGATGTTGCAACACATCATTGCATTCGCCAGGAAATAAATGCGCAGTAGCAGGCGCAGGATTGAAGTCAGAATCCTCCGAGTCAAAAAGGCTCTTGTAATGATCATGAGCCCGAATACCCGCTTGAGTATTATACGTAAGCTCGATTTCGGTATCCTTATGAGAATCAGGCAACCTAGGCGTCTTCTTCGAGTAGGATCCACTGTAACGGGGTGAATCGTTACATCACAATTTATAAGAAATTGTTAATAGAATATAACTATAAGAGGTACATTCTCAGAATATTGTCATAAGGACAAATATTCTGCAGCACTTACGAGTAGTTCCTAACTGGTTGATATAGGCCATTATATCAACCAACGAAGACGCGCCACGACAGACGCACGCAATGAGTGGTGAGCAGATAGTTGATATACACATTTGTATTCAGACATAGTTAGATGAGGATAAATAGTGATTTATTAACAGACATTAACTATGATAAAGACAGTTCTACTTTTTACTTAAACTAAGTACTCGCTTCTTCTTAACGTCTTCCTCTGCACGTACGAGTGTACGTGAAGTTCCGAGGCACCGCCTTATTCTGTCATCAGAATAAGTAGCTTGTACTGTCACCAGTACAAGCTTCAGGGTGCCCCGTTACACCTGGTAGCACTTCGTAGTCCGTCCAAGGACCGCGTTCACATCTATCATGAATATGTTGGATGATGAAGATGACCAAAGCTTTCACGCTACGCGTGACGGCTACTCCCATTTGAGCGATGTCGAATGGGATGCAGTTGAACGGATGGGTTCAACCATGGGCATCCATGCTGTTAGCGTCATGCAAGAGGCTCTCAATAGAGATGCCCAACATGCTACTATCGCCAAGTTCATTCAAAATGAACTTGACGCAGAACGCGAGAAAGTAGCCTTGCTTCACCAACAAGGTTCTCAACAAGCAGAGTTGTTGAGAGAACAGGGTGATCAACAGTTTGAACTGTTGAGACAGCAGCAGGCTGCTGCTGGTGGGTCGATGCACTCGCGTCGACCCGAAACCTTGAAGATTGACATCTCCAAGTATAGGGGAGTCGAAGAGGACTCCCTCTTGAGATGGTTCGTCGAATTTGATGACGCCATAAGGGCGCGTCGCATCGACGATGGGGACATGCAAGTTGCATTTGCCTAATTAAATATGGCAGGACGTGCCAAGACTTGGGCTTTGGGACTCAAGTTGCACGACCCATATGCGTTTGGGTCGTTGGAAGTCTTCAAGTAGCGGCTCAGACAAACGTTTGAACCGCTTAGAGATGAGTTCAGAGCTCGAACTGAACTCTTGAAGCTCAAACAGGGTAAGCGTGATGTGCACGCTAACGCGCAACATATACGACATCTTACGAGTTGTATAAGTTCCAATCCGGTGGATGAACACACGTTGGTTTCGGTGTTCATGCAGGGTCTTGCGGATGGTCCCGTCAAGACTCACCTGTTCCGACTTGAACTAAATTCACTAGAACAAGCAATTTCCATTGCGGAACAGGAAGACTTCAGTCTGAGACAGGCTCGCGCCAGCTCGACATCATATCATCCACCGAGACGATATGACAGCGGAATTCCAGAGCCGATGGAACTCTGTTATGTAGAGAGCGAGAAGGCTCGCTCTACAGACTACAAGAAGTTGCAGATATGCAACAGATGTCAAAAGACAGGACACTACGCTTACGAGTGTACTGCCCTCGTCCAGTGTCTCGCAACACTGGGCGTAGTGACCGTCCACCCATGAGAAAGGGGCAGGGACGCGGGTCCGCTGTTGGTACAAAGACGCAACAACGGAATGGACCCTCAAAAAAACGGACAGGATCAGTAGGTGCGGAGCACCCTACTGGTCCAGCAACGTCAAGAGAATTTGTAGGCCTCTTGATGAAGGTTGCTCCCAACACACAAACGTTGTGCGTTGCTGCTCTAGGTAATGAGATCTCACTCATTACCTTGAAACTCAAAGTGGCGAATAAGTTGTCCCTTCGATCTCTAGTCGATTGTGGGGCGTCCAACAATTTTGTGCGACGCCAATCGCTAGAAGATGGTCACTTTAAGATCAGTGAATGTGACATACCTCCTACGAGGATGACGGTACGTCTTGCGACAGGCGCATCTGTAACCGTCATGAAGCGTATAGTGAAGATTCACTATACGCTAGAAGATACCCAATATGACGATGACTTTATCGTATTGGAATTGGATGACAAATTTGATGTCATCCTTGGAATACCGTGGCTCAGAAGGTACGAACCACGGGTAAACTGGCAACATCGAACAGTAACGATGCCTGTCGCTTGTTCATCAGATGGCCATCTGATGAACGTTTTGGAGCTTCCACAAGCGTGTGGATGTACTACGAGTGAGTGAGATGGTCTCACTTGTGGTACGGTCGTTAGTACGACTGCACAAAACCTTAGTGTAACAAACGGTTACACTTCGGAGCAAAGTTCCGGCGGCTGTGAGGAAACACAGGCTGCGCCGAAGGTCCACCACTCGAATAAGTCGAGTGGACTGGGACAAAGATGTATCCCTAGCGGGGAACATCTAGAAGAGAAACAATAGATCGCTCAGGTTAAGCGAAACGATAATCCTAGATCGACTGGAGATTCTTTCGTAGAGGATCTCGCTGTGGTTGCGCAACCCCAGCTAGAGGAAGTAAAGGGAATAAGTCCCAAGATTACAAATACGGCGGAAATAAGTTCCCCGAAACCCGCGGGAATAAGTCCCCGGGAAGCCGAAGGAATAAGTCCTTCGAGGCCTGAGGGAATAAGTCCCCAGAAAATGACAGAGACATTGAATGTCCTAGTCAATAACGGATCAAGTGTAGGCGCATATACACTTGATCTGATTGCGCCTCCGAAGTTGAATTCGGAGATCACTCAGTTTCCAACGCTCGAACATAAAGGTTCTTGCGTGATCTGCGTAGTGGCAAAGTCAAGCAGATCTGCGTACTCGTCGCTGAAGACGAGTGTGTAGCCGACATAAGGTTAGCAACAGTGTTTACTGAGAACGAGAGAGTTCTCAGTAGTTCATCTATGGACGAGAGTGTCCTAGATGAAAAGACACGAATTGAGCGATATGAGTCCCAATCGTGGGAACCGCTCAAGGAAAATCCTCTCTATGAAGATTTGGTTGAATTCAAGGATGTATTCCCTGAAACTGTTCCGTGCGAGTTACCGAAGGATAAAGGTATTCGACACGAAGTCGAGCTTAAACCAGGCTCGAAGTACTGTGTCATGAAGCAGTGGCCACTGCCTCGTGAACAAGTACTTGCGATCGACAAGTTCTTTGCCGATCGTTTAGCTGCGGGCCATGTGAGGGAATCAACTTACCCACATAGCTCTCCGACTTTCTGTGTGCGAAAAGCAACAGGAGGATGGCGGATAGTGCATGCATTTAACAAATTGAATGCTGCAACGGTACCGGCTCAGACGCCGATACCAAGGAAGGACGTAATCATTGATGGTATGTCAAAGAGTACCATCTTTTCGTCCATGGATTTGATGGATGGCTTCTATCAAATCCTTATGCGGGAACGGGATATACCTTATACCGCAGTTAGCACGCCTAGCGGCATGCTCTGGGAATGGCTAGTAATGCCACAAGGGCTTAGTAGTTCCCCTGCCACGTTCAACAGATGTGTATCACATTTGTTGAGACCAGTACGAGAATTCGCGCCGAGTTCCCCTTTCGATGACGTCTTCATCCATAGTCGGGCTATGGATGGAAAGTCGGACGTTGAGGTTCACAGGTACCACGTCCGACAGGTTCTTAAAATCATGCGAAAGCATCAATTGTATGCAAACCTCAAGAAGTGTTTATTTGTAGCAAGCAAAATACCACTTCTTGGGTGCATAGTTGGTAAGAACAGTGTACGTCCTGATCCAGAAAAAAACAAGGCGATCACCGACTGGCCTGTGCCGGTCGATGTCAAAGGTCTTCGAAAATTCCTTGGGCTAGCGGCGTATTTGCACAAGTATTCACGCAATTACGTTGAGATGACTGTACACCTCTCTCGTTTGTTGAAAAAGAACGAGAGGTGGTTATAGAACGCTGAATGTCAGTGCTCCTTTGATTGTATCAAGCAAAGCTTAATACAATCCCCATTCCTAGCAATTGCCGATCAGGACAGGCCATTTCATGTGGTATGTGATGCCAGCGATTTCGCAATCGGCTGTGCATTAATGCAGTACGATCTTGAAGGCGTTGAACGCGGCGTCTGCTATCAGTCGCGTCAGCTGCAACCAGCTGAGCGGAACTATCCAGTGCATGACAAGGAACTCCTTGCCATGAAGTATGCACTCGCGAAGTTCATAGCCTATCTCTTAGGAGATAGACCCTTCATTGTTTACACTGACCATGCGTCGTTACGCACGGCAGTAAACAGCCCGCACCTTTCACAACGAATGGCGCGGTGGTTGTCATTCTTTGCAGAATACAACTTTACTGTATAGTACAAACCAGGACGACTTAATGTCGTCGCTGATGCACTCTCACGTCGTCCCGACTTTGAACCAGTCGTGAAACCCAACAGTGGGACGGTCACTGTTGCGGTTATGACGTCCTCAGTCCCATCTACAACGTTGTATGATGATGTGAGGCGGGCGTATGCCCAAGATGGTGAGATTGTGAAGCTGTTGACACATCTCTCACAGCCATCTCGAGAATCGTTGAAACGATTGTCGTCTGCGTATCGATCTGCATCAGATCGATACACTACTCGCAACGGGTTACTGTATCATACAGCCGTTTCTGGTGACACACCACGCGTTGTCATTCCAGATGATACTGATCTGCGTTTGCGGATCATGTTCGAGTATCACGATGCTCCTATAGGAGGACATCGTGGCCGGGAGAAAACATATCTCACGGTGAGTCGAGACTTTTACTGGCCCCGCCAGTATCAGTTTGTGCGAAAGTATGTTCGCGCATGCGAAGTCTGTCAACGAGTGAAGTCAAGTCCTTCACTGCGTGCACCTTTACAGCCTCTACCGGTTCCGGCTGAGTGCTGGGAATCCATCTCAATGGATTTCGTCTTCGGGTTACCCAAAGACGCACGCGGGAATGCGGGTATTCTCGTACTTGTTGACAGATTCAGCAAAATGGTACACCTTGTGGCTGTACCAGAGACAATCACGGCAAGTGGATGTGCCTGTGTCTTTATTGACACCATCTTCCGACTTCATGGGTTGCCCCGTGAACTCGTATCAGACTGAGATCCACGATTCACTGCTGATTTCTGGCGTTCCGTGTTTAAATCACTCGGAACGCGCTTGAAGATGTCGACATCTGATCATCCAGAGTCAGATGGTCAGACGGAACGTGCCAATCGTGTCCTCGAAGAGATACATCGAGGATACGTACACTCCTTTACGAGTTGGAGTGAGTTCTTGCCCATGGTAGAGTTTGCCATTAACAACTCGGTGCATGCGTCCACGACACATACACCGTTTTACGTGAATGGCTTACGCCATCCGCGTGTACCCACCTTACTAGAGTGTAACTCTGGTTTAAGGGGGGGAGGGACTCGCGCGAGCAATAACCGATTTGGTTCACGCTCACCACGCTCTAACGAAGAAGTCATTGCGTTTGATGCCGATATCGATAACATCGATATCGAAGAAGATGATGCCAGTGAGAGTGCGGAAGCCCTCACTGAAGAAAAGATTGATGTTGCTGCAGTGCACTCACAGCGCACTGAAGATAACGAGTCATCAGATGAGTTCATACTGGCTCGTGAAACGGTAGTCCGTTTTGTGCAAGACTTCATCGCCGAAGCGGTGGATAAGTAAAAGCAAAACGCTGACAAGAATGGAAGGGCAAACACTCTTTTATTTAATAAAGGTGACTTAGTCCTACTGTCTACGGTTAATCTACCAAAGCATGTAGTGACTAACTTGGGTAGCAGTAAACTTCTACCCAAGTACATCGGCCCATTTAGTGTATTGCACCGCCTAGGCAATGCATACACGATCGAGTTACCACGTAAGGTGCGAACGCATCCCACGTTTTACGTTGGTCGGCTTAAGCCGTACCATCCGTACGCTCCTTCTTCCGATGAAGAACGCCCTTGCGCTCAAGCATCTCGCAGAGAGCCTTGTGCTCCCGATGGTGGGCATCGACAAGGGTCTGAAGAGCAGTTATCTCAGCCCGAGACCGATCAACATTCTCACGAGCTACCCTTAGCTCGTCACGCAGAGACGTCAGAGCTCTCTCGTTCTCAAGCTGAGCAAAGGCAAACTCAGCTCGATGCTTCGAGACAGTGTCCGCCATCTGGAGACGCCTGTCCTGCTCATGGTTGAGATCGTTGCGTAACCCTTGCGTTACGCGATCAAAGAAGCTCTCGGGAACACACCGATCCACATGATCGTGTGGAGAGCGTCTTTCCTCCTCCTCCACCTCCATTAGAGGACTCTCGCGGTGGCCAGCGCTATCTAGTTGAGCAGCTGTTGAACCACCGCGACGTGAACGGACGTCGGACGAGTTATCTCGTCCGGTGGCGCGGCTATCCCCCGTCCTGGGATTCTTGGGAGCCCCGCTCCCAACTGATGATCGACGTACTGGGTCTGGTTGAGCAGTACGACGCGGCACATCCTGTGCCGCAGAAGGACCGCCGGAGAAAGTCTTCCCGGCACGGTCGTAAAGGGATTTCAGGTTGTCAATCCCTTCGTACATCTCACTAGAGATACGTGCGCGCCACCACGGGCTATTAAGGAGGTAAGCCTCCTTAGATGAACGCGCTAAGCTGTTTACACAACAAGGGCACGGGTCTTCCCAGGAAAGTCAGGGTAACCCACCCTTTGACAGACGATGCAGCTTGTAGCGTAAACCAGTCGGGGTTCGCTTTTCAAACTTATCACGAGCTTTGATAAGTTTGTCGTTTCAAACGTCACGACCTACCTCCTCAAGGTTATGGATGCAGGCGTTCCACGCCTGAAGTAGTGAGGGACCATCACGTTTGTGATTCCCACTGTACCATCGACGTTTAAAGAAAGCATCGATGAAGAATTCATTCTCAGCGCGATCGTCCTACGCACTGGGGTCAAGGTGATGGATCCTTGACGAATCGAACAACCGTGTTCGATAACGATCACTCGTCGTCGCCGACAAGTGATCCATGACGGATTTTGAAGGCATCCATGCCTTCGTCTCGGGAGCGAGACGCAACACATTGCGGTCCCGCTCTTCCTGCGATGTGCCGACAGAAGGACTGGCACCTCGTTGCGAAGTGGTGTCCATAGGAGAACCGACACCACTGTTAGCGCCCGAGTCTCGCGACCTCGAGCGCCTTCGCTTCGGCGATGGTTCATCTGATTCATCAGATGCTACGACGCATAGCATCATCCATGCCACGCTTGGCAGGCGGCTTGGATTCGATCGCTGTCGATACGGATCCGTCTTCCGTATCAGGAGAGTATGAGACACCGAGCTCATACTCTGTGAAGACATGAGTGTCTTCATGACGAGCGCCTGCATCACCAGGTGACACAGGCTGAGTCGCTTCAGCAACCGATGAGACATCAGTTGCTGTGGTTTCTGCTTCGGCGTCTGCACAGAGACGTGCAGACGCTCTTCAGCGTCCTTGTTCGCGCACCGCATGGACTAGATAATCATGCGATGAAACTGATGGACTGTGGACTCGGACCAACAAGTGTAAATCCTGTCCCAAATGATTTGGGACGAGTATCCATTCGGTCAATGAGTCACTAAAGTGACTGGTGGTTAAGGGGGGTGATGTAACGGGGTGAATCGTTACATAACAATTTATAAGAAATTGTTAATAGAATATAACTATAAGAGGTACATTCTCAGAATATTGTCATAAGGACAAATATTCTGCAGCACTTTCGAGTAGTTCCTAATTGGTTGATATAGGCCGTTATATCAACCAACGAAGACGCGCCACGACAGACGCACGCAATGAGTGGTGAGCAGATAACTGATTTACACATTTGTATTCAGACATAGTTAGATGAGAATAAACAGGGGGTTTATTACAGACATTAACTATGATAAAGACAGTTCTACTTTTTACTTTAACTAAGTACTCGCTTCTTCTTACCGTCTTCCTCTGCACGTACGAGTGTACGTGAAGTTCCGAGGCACCGCCTTATTCTGTCATCAGAATAAGTAGCTTGTACTGTCACCAGTACAAGCTTCAGGGTGCCCCGTTACATCCACCGCTCGACTCCTCCGAACAGATGAGTTCCACTTGGCAACCTTTATCAGCATTGGCACGTGGTGACACACTACGTGCCTTTGCAGCAACTGTTGCTGCAGGAAGAGTTGAAGCAGCAGTAGACGAAGCACCTTCTGCCGCGAGTGGCTGGGCATCGTCAAGAGAAGCTGCGTTGACACACGAAGCTGCCTTCTCAGTAGCTTTCGCCGCGCATTGCATGGGTTTGTTGACCATGCGCTGAAGATTCAAAAATGAGTAGATCAGACCAGGCAGGAGCTCCCTGTCCCTGACGTGGTCTAACGGTGACCACATCAATATGATAGTGACTGAGTAACCATCGTTTCAGGGGGGGTGATGTAACGGAGCGAGCCTGTTACATTTAATCAACCTTGATACTTGTAATTAGAATACTGTCATGAAGGTTGTAATGTTCGTGAATATTACCACTATAGGTTTATTTACAAGCACTCATCAATTGGATGATATGGGCCATCATATCAGCGTGCTGTAGCGGTCCGATCAACAATAGACGCGCGCAATGAGTAGTGAGCAAGACTTGAGCATACACTTTTGTAGATAATATAATTAAGTTAGGAATCAAACATAGGTTAACGATTTGGACTTAATTACATTTAATACAGTTTTTGCTTTCTACTCCTATTGAACGCGTCGTTCAATAGATAGCCTTCCTCTACACGTACGGTGTACGTGAAGTGGCGCGCGGCACTACCTACACTGCTGTCGGTGTAGGTGCACTAAAACTGAAGCAGTCCTAGTGACCAGTGCCCCGTTAGAGGTCTAGTCTGCCTAATGAGGATGCAGCGGACAAGGTGCAATCAACGCACAAGTGTACTAGCGTCAGAATCGCTATGCACACTGGTTCGACCCAGCAAGTGCAGTATAATTTTACTGACAGAAATGATTAGCACAAGCAAGAGGAGAAAGGTCTACAGGACAATCAACAGGTTTAAGCGCCGTAGAACTCATATTCATCCGTTTATGGCTGCTACGTTTCGAAGCTGATGCGTGGTGCGCTTAAAGAAGTTTTAGCACGTGCAGAATGTACTTTTCGTAGTCGAGTACCATATCTTCTGCGACGAGGCCGATTCCACCGCCATGTTTCGCAGCACCCACTAGTACGTCTTCAGGATTTTGTCGGTTTAAAATCCAGTAGTCGTACTGTGCCAGTTTGAGATCTTGCCACACCTTATCTTCGGGTAGATTACGACTGCTCAGGAAGATAAGAAGCGCTGCGTTTACTTCGCCATGTTTCTCTTGCAGCGACAAAAATTGCTCTGCAAACGGGTACTGTTTCATCATCGCTTCATGACTGGTAATAATCGACATGAAACGTGGATCTGCATACAAAGTGTCCACTAGCCATTTCTTGCGCACGATGAGACTGCGAGCGTGTCTGTCTGGATACTTTTGAACGTAGGCGGATATCATCGGTTCGGCTGTCTCTTTCCACTCGCGATACTCGATCGTGTTCGGATGCAACGAATGTGGTAGGATTTCATCAACATTAGTTTGGACCGACTTGAGTATATTCCGCAGCACACCAACTATTCTTTCGAGAAAAAACGCCCGTTCTTCTTTATATTTGTCGTCAGCGGAATGTTTGCTTAGCTGTTCCTTGAGAGTCTCGTACTCGACTGAGTCTGCGCCAGGCACCGGGCGCCCGAGTCCTGAGGACAGTCCAGCAATGATGAGTAGCACACCGCTGATCGAGAGCGTGAAGAAGTGTAAGGATCGCATGCCTTGGCTTCGTAAGTGGTTTGGGAGAGGATGCTGAGCAATGAGAAGCAAAATTGAAAGTGAACGAATTTGTACAGTCGGTCCGGCGGTCCATTGAAGCAGCTTGTTGTTGCAGCTGCAAAGACTGCTCACCACCAGTAGATTCTAGTCGACGTCCAGAACAGTGTAGAAACCAGTAAGAATTGGGTCAGAGCAGCATTTTTTCCCGCATATGAATCGATGAGGTCATGGAATATCAGCGGGAAGATTTCTGATTTCTCGTGGAATGCGGTGTGAGCTAGAGTATCCTGCGACCGATCGGATCTACCATCGGACTGGAAATCTTATGTGGCATCCAGATAGGAGGGTTTGCGCCAGAACAAAAAATAGGAACATCATTGTCGACTCGTGTGGACACTACTATCGCGTCTTGCCGGGCTCTAATCGGTTTAGTACACAAGTGCCATCATGGACTCGCGTGTAATGACTAGCGGATGAGATTTAATCGACTGCGAACACAATAGTTCAAAAAAAGCATGTGATCGCCTCCCCCTTTAGAGTTGCAGACTTCGCCTTCTTAAAGCAATTGTGGCAGAATTGATTGCAAGAAATCACACGAACAAAAGCTTTTTTGAATATCACAAACATCATCGAAGGTCCCCAGCGCTGCAACAATCGTAAGAAGAGCACGTTCAACCTGATCCGTCGGTATGATCTGTTGCACAGCTGCACATCCCAGAGTAGTGAATCGAACATCCAGATTTGCTGTCAGTAATCTCGGCAGCTCTAGGGCACCTTTCGAGCAGTATTGGCCAAAGAAATTTTGCTATTGATGTGGAAAACACGCCCCAAAGAACGCTGGCAGCCGCAGCCTTGCCACAAACGAGTGAAATTAGAAGCTCAACGGGCTTCATATGGGCATAACAGTCCTGCCGCCAAAGCCACTATGCCAGAAGCGCATGCATTATCAACTCTAAATAACTACTACTAATACGACAATCAACGGGTGAGCAGCTTAAACGTACGCTCGCATGCCGGAAGATGGTCATCGTTGGGGCAATATTAGGGAACACGTCAGTTTCATGACGACACATCTCACACCCGGGATCACTTTTATAGCTGCATGTCATTCACTCAAGATTTTGAGATCAATCAGGTCGTTGGCGAAGGTTAGTTGCATGTCATTGGCTGCAGTTGGTAGAGAAAAGCGATGATTTTTAAGACGACAACGTGGTTCTACATGACACTACACCATTGCATCGTTGAATCTAGTTGGGGTCCAAAAACGAACAAACACAGCCACAACTTCATCGGTCACATTCAGCCAAAATGGACTTTTGTAGTTATACCGACTGATGTGAAGATTTCTGCGTAAAAGTTTTGAGAAAAAGTTATACTGATCTCTCATAGGTGCACAAAAAGTTAAGTGACACCCATTGCTGGAGATGTTCCTAGTGTGACCGCGAGTGTGGTTCCTGACGGACGTCGTGCCCCAACAAAAGACGAGGCACTGACGTCTATCACAGTGGGTGGCCAGGTGCATCGTTCCTCGTGATATGGAACCTCAATTGCGAACAGAGCCGGACACCCTGTTCATACACTGTCAAAAGTAGCCCTGGTATATCATCCTACAAAAAACACTGACTTGCACGACCTCGTTTACACGATGCATCCGGATATTAATCCTTTCGCTCCTGTGGCTGGACCACTGACTCATTAGAAGCGGAGTCACTTGTTTTGACAGAGGATGCCTGTGTTGTTACAAAATGACACGATAGTCTCCGTTATCACGCCGCGGTGCGAAGTCTCCTCTAGATGACCGTTTCTGGCAGAAAAGAAGTCATAGCAGCTTCTGATGCAACTAGATGACACGCCCTACAGAAACAGGGAATCCGGTCTTCTCGCATACGTATATGAACCAAAGGGGAAGCAAGGGTCAAGCAATTCGTCAATGTTCATGTTGCAAAGTGTGGCAGTGCGAGCTGATCACTACGAGCCGGCTTGGCGTCGAGAATGAAAGTACATATACTCGTAGGCTGCTACAAACTCTCAGCGTCGAAATACTCCAGGTGAACACCTCATTGCGATAGTACCTTCTCGTCTTTATTGGCAGCGTCCACGCCAATAACAGTATCAACCGTAGTTCACTCTCGTTACAGCTCAGCTACTTTTCAATCAAGACTCTGGACCTACCGTCGACAGATTGTATCACCTCAACTAGATACAAGTCAGCGGCGGAGCCTCTGCAACATCTGACTCGCTCGGTCACTCAAGGGGCGAACACGTACGTGAGCTGCACTTCAGCGGCCACATCCAAAGCCAAGATCTGTTTTACTTACATCGTCGAGAGCTTGGCAGAGTCGTTTGTGATCAGCATCTGGGACAATTCTCAAAGACATTGACCGCGTTTCTTCCTTTGCTGTAAATGCTACGACAGCACTGTTCAGCTCGGATGACAAGGTAGTCATACTTGCAGTAAGACAACTCTACGGTCTGATGAACCTGCTAACCTATGCTTGGGTTCGTGCCAGCACTATTTTAGCTTTAACTGCCAGTAGCAACTGATGATCCTCTTCAGCTAGTTAATGAGTCACCTTGTGGCCCAGAACAGAGGACGTCTCGATTACGAGCGTAACACGTTTGAGTTGAGCACCATGCCCTGCAGACGAGAACTCTCAGCGATGATAGCAAGTCAACGCTACGTCGAGACGAGGCAAAACCACGAAGCTTGCAGCCAAAAGACGTAGTAGATACCCAGCACCTTCCGGTGGAATGGATTGAGTGCTAGGAGCAGCCCAAAGACGTCTGACACAGGCAACACAGTGCGTGGATCGAAGCGACAATAAATTGATAATGATGAGAAAGGTTCCTATGTTCTGCTGTGGATAATGATGGTATGATACTAGAACCTGAACGGACGACAAGTGCCTCACGACTTGGTTATTATACCATGTGAGCTCACTCAGAGGACCCTCATACTCGGCACATTTTAAACGATCGGTACGTAGACGACGTACGCTCGTCCACGAGATTGCAAACACTTACACAACATGTGTAATCCTCGTCAAAAAGCTTGTTCGTACTCTGCTCCTTGTTCAGGAGCAGAGCCGCGATTTAGTGAAAGAGTCTGAAGTTCTGCAGGCCTTCGGCCACGAAAGAACGCTGTTACTTATGCGATAGGCTGCGTTTCGATGATACCAGCTGATTGATTTAAAAACACACGGCGCGGCGGGTGGTGGTGCCTTCAAACACCGTCCGGCTGAGCTGTCGAGAAAAATCCTTTGGCTGGCATCGTCTCAAACGAATTGGACGAAATTTGAGTGGTCAAGTCAAGTAGCTGGACACTTCTATTGACTCTTCGTGATAGCACTGCCCGACATCACTTATAGACTGCACACTGACCACTGATCTATTCAAGTTAGGCCAAGCAGATGGTGACCACACGATTGAACACGTCTGCACAACTGCAGGAGACAGGGATGAACGTTGACAAACAGACGGACGAATTTCCGAATTTGGTGGACTGTAGTGACGACAACGAGGACGAGGTGGACAGGGTATTGCTGCACTTGATCCGTTCCATCGCCCTGTTCCTCTCCGGGTTCTTATTGCAGCCAGCAAAGTTGGCCACAGAGGTAGCGGAACTTGCTGCGTTTATTTCGGCCGGCGCTGCAACGTCGGACTTGTTAAACAAACCGACTGTCGCACTTCTTGGTCGAATACATGCAGCACTGTTTGAATGGGTGCACCGCGAAGTGGATAACGACCATGAGCTGGACGGGTTACTGCAAGAACAAGGCGTCTTCGTGGTCATCCAAACTCTTTTCCGACAGCAGCGGACCAAACCTGCAGTCCAGTGTCGAATACTCGTCGCTCTTCTGACTTCGTATTTGGCACGGCTAAAGTCTCCGCTGGTCCGGTATGAACCTGCTAGTATGCTAGCTTCGACTCTTGATTATCTGGTGGCAACTGAGGAAACCAGCAAAAGCGCAGAACTTGTGCCCTTGCCAGTGCTATACCCGCTTGTGAATGCAGTGGATTCCATCAGCATCGAACAGCGTGAGTGCCTTGATGCTCTGGTCACATTGTTGCGGTTGTTCTCTGCATGCGACCCATTTGACAAGGTAAGAATTGCATGCATTATCACATTTGGCTGGAGCTTTCCACTGAAAGTGCTGTCCCTGAGCAGATTCTCACTGCATTCACTACGACATACCACGTCAAACTTATCGGAGCCGGAAACACCGCAGCTGAACGAGAGAATAGCAATCAAAACGTTGACAACGCAAGGGGTCTTTGCTTCGTGCAGATGCTCCTGCGCTACTCGGACCACATTTTTCGACGAGATGTTCAGGTCAGTGCATGTTGCCTCATTCTGATACTCCATGTCTTTGACTAATTCGTGCTTGCGTTGTATCAGCTTGAGCCATTTGTCCCTGCTTTCTCGTACTCAGATACCGAAGACGACGATGATTCAAGTGAAGATGCTGGTACTCAATCTTGTCACCACTCGTCTTATATAAACGACAACTCGATTCATTTAGTAGCAGAAAGTCTGGGGAAGACTAGCAACGAGGACTCTGTGGACACGAACTCGAGCGGCAAGATGCCTGCTCAGATCTCAAGAGAGTTGTCGGAGCTCAACCACGAAGAAGTGTTAGTGCTACGCAACGCTCTTCGTGCCGTAAAGGCAGAGAATGCCATGCTGAAGAAAGCGGCGTCACATTCGCAAAGCAAGCACACGAGGCACGACAAGCAGGCAATGACATCCGGAACTCGCCGCAGCACGAAATTTACAGATGAAACCGAAGACAAGCACGACCACTTGGTTGGAAGCGAATGGGCAGGCGGAATCGCATTCATGGACGTTCACCTAGTGTTCGTAGGTATCGCGGCTGCAGCGGGGACGATAGCTGCTGTGCTCTGTGTTTTCTACCACTTATAAAGCACCTATCGACAAGAAAAGCAAAGCTTGGATGCTGGACATTGTCGACAGCTTCACACTACTTTTGACTGCAGACGGCTGCGAGATCGTGCGGCGTTTTCAGTAAATACTTTTTTGATACAGCCAGATACTTCTCGCCTCGCTGCTGTGTTGACAACTCATTTGCTAGACTTGGAACCGTACTTGCACCACTTTGTATCTCGAAGTAGCAGTGCACTATTAACCTTAAAAAATCTTGATAGCCTTCCAGCAACTATCGCGCGCGCGTTATTTCAACATACCCATACATTCTACAACCGATAAGCTCCACGTGCAAACTCCCACAATCCTCCAAGTAAGGGCGCAGTAGCGTTATAGGCTGACGCGGCACATTGCTCGGGGATATCACAAGCAATACCAACACCCGTCACCACGGTCAAAATAAACGAGGAGAGCGGGAACAGCACGTACAGCAGCAAACTCCGCCGCTTCGTTCTCGCAGGATTGATAGCACCATTCTTGTCCAGCATCTTGACCACATGGTCATCGCGGTCATCGGCACTGCGGTCTTCGAAACGGTTGAAAAGATAAAGGATCCCTGAATTAAAGCCATAGATGACGAGCAATAGCGGGAGGCGGAAGAGCATGTTCATCCATTCGTCCCGCAGATAGAAGAGGACAATCGCACCAAGTACTGGCAGCATGACAGCCACCAGGTTGAGCTGAGCTGCAGCAAAGAAGATCACGCCAAGTGCCAGGAGGATACCCAAGATCTTCATTCCGTACGCCACTTCGCAACCAAACACCTGAAGTGATGCCGGCGTCCACCACGAAACCGTCCACCAGTGATGCGACTCATCAGGGTGGCAAAGCGGCTTTACGAAAGCTACTTCCCGCAGGTTTTCAAAGAACACAATAGCCATGATCACCAGCACTACGAGCACGTCAGTCTTAGTGACTGTCCAAACAAACGATGCACGGTTTCGGGCGTTTTGTGCACGAATCTGCTTGAGTTCCTCCTTTCGTCGCTCGAGCCGCGCTTCCTCTTCGACTAGCCGCTGGGCCTCGCGAGCTCGCTCAATTTTTTCAACAATCAGCTGTTGTTTATCGTGGAACTTCTGAGTCACGCGATCACGCTTCTCTTGAGCTTTGGTGCGATCGCGATTTCGTCGCTCGTTCATCTTCATTATATCGCGCTTACGTAGCTGGTCAAACATGCCACGGAGACTGTTTACCAGCAGCATCATATTCGAGCGATTTGCCAGAATTTCACCGGCTTTTAAGATGGCATCTTGGCGCTTGGCGCCAAGTGCAACAAAGTTGGTTGCCAGTGTCTCGACACTGTCGAGGCCCTTGCCATCGTTGCTAACAACTGCAGCACAGAAGCTGTCACGCCGGGCATCCTCCAGCATGAACTGCGCACTTTCGACCTCCTCGACGTACGTCATCTCCATCATCTCAGCTTCGTCCACCCATCGTTCGAGACGACGCATGGACGCAGCAGTGGGTCCGCCACCGGCCGTTGCAGTAGTGCCAAGCTGCTTCGTTTGTAGAACCATCTGACCATTGCTTGCAGCCTCTGTGTTTCCCAGCAGTAGAAGTTGTTCGTGTTCTGGCTCGTGTGCTGACTGGAACTTTTCAATAGCATCCAGTAGTTCCCGCCGAACCTTCTGTTGTTCGACGACTTCATCAAACGCCTTGAGGAAGAAGCTAAATTCGTCTTTGTTCTTATTGCGACCAAGATTGCTGCCACTGCCACTGCCACTCGCCGTCATGCTACCGCTCCAGCATCGTGCGAATGCGTCTAACTCGCTAGATACCGCCTTGCCGTTTACGCTGTTTTGTACCGGCGTTCCCGAATTCTGACGGAGCGAGGCAAGCAGCGACAGGAACACTGGTTTCGGAATGACCACATTCGAATTTACTTTTGCCACGAGAAGTTCCGAAATTTGCTCAGCCAGCTGCTGGACGCGCGCATTTTCCAAATGCAAGTTTTGTAAACTCTCGTCTTGAGCCGTGAGCCACATCTTCTCGTCAACGTATGTCTTCCAGCGCGCAGGGACCACGAGCTGCATAATCTCCACAGCCACCTGTTCGCCCCTGCACGCAATTTCCTCAACTGTGGTCACAATCTCTGCGAACGTCATTTCCTTCCGATTCGTCATGTGGAGCGGCATGTTCACTAACGTCATGTCAGTCTCACGAAACTCAACCGCCATGAGCTGCTGCTTCAAGTCGTTTGCCTGCTGAACAACCTGCAAATAGCGTAGCCTCACGCAAGCAATCTGCTTGATCCGCAGCGACAATAAGTCAACCGGAAATTCACGCAATTCCTGCTCCAACACGGTCGGATCCTCTTCACAAAAAAGTTTCCAGAGAATCTGTCGTTCGCGATAGAGCCGCCACGATAACCACGACAAGTGCCACAATCCTGCCACAACAAGTCCAATGATCAGCAGCATTGTAACTACCACTGCCAGCACGGCAGCTTGTTCTTGTGTCGTGAGCTCAGTCTTATTATGACTCCACCACCACACGGCTGTGTGGGTGTCAGCAAATACCATAGGCGTTACCACATCTTCCATCTTTTTTGCTCCATCAGCTTCCACATCAAACGTATCCGTTTCGTGGGAAAGCGTCTCTTCGCTGTCTTTTTCATTTACAACAGCAACTGCCAGTGGCTCCACTAGTCCCGTTTCTTCAACAACAGCACTTTCTACCACAGGAACTATTGCATCTGGTTCGTCTTTCACGTCCCACGTAATGACGTGAAAATCGTCCGTCGACGGCCATCGAGTCAGCTCCGAGCTCTGGATATCCCGTGCCTCGATTAAAACCTGCTGCTTCTTGTCTTGTCCGTCCGAGAAGGAAAAGTCGTCGACACGGATCTCCACTTGACGACGCGATGCTAGAGCACGAATGATGCGTAACCATGCAAGCATCACAATAACAACCACACGTAAACATATGACCGTCATAGACCGTTCACTGTAAAATTGATCGTTTTTCCATTACAAAACAGTTCTTGTACACAAAACACTTTTTATATTCTTACGGTGCAAGTGCTCAGCGATGACGCGGCGCGCGTCGCTCGCGCTTAGAAGCAAGAACGCGACGACCAGCAGATGCCGGACGCAGCAGAGCGAGATAGGACTGTATCCTCTTGGGCGTCGTGGTGGTCGCATGCTCGCGCGTCTCTCGTGGTCGAAAGCAAAGTGTCGCGTCGATGTCGCTGAGTCCATGGCGATCCGTCGCTGGTTCTCGGAACGCGCGGAAAACTCATGAGAGACGATTTACTAGTATTTAGTATAGGCAGTAAAGCGAGGGAGTGGCGGAGATCCCACGGTCATGGACATTTAAAAAAAGTACTTCTTAAGGTGGAATGTAATTCGATAGAGAGGGTGGGACCTCGTGGTATATTTATTGTACATGATCCCCGTACGATTTAAGGTGGTGGTGACCTCTTGCTACCATTACTACTACGATCAACATCGTCTTCTGCTTCCATCGCTTCCTTCCTTTGAGAGATGAATCGTTAACTCCTTCCGGGCGATGGCTGGCATTGTTCTGCTTCGTGCACTGTGCTGCTGCGTTCGACATTGCACGCGTGTCCCAGGTGCGTGTAATTTCAAAGGCAGGTCTCCCTTAATGGTACTGGCCTCGACTCAAACTTGGCTGTGATGGAGCCACTTGCTCATGCATGGCCTTGCCTAGTGACGTGAACATATCGGCTGTGAAGCCTTGAGGTAGTTCTTTTGTAAGCTCTTGCAATTCATACAATACCTCATCAGTCAAGTCTTCGCGGTTCGACAATCGACGTGGGCGACGTAGTGATACTTCTTGTGGACACTGTTCATGTTGTCGTTCTTGTTGAGGTCGCCATTGCCCAGTCTTTCTACGCGTCCATCGACCGGCAATTGTTCTTCGCATTCGTAGAAATAAAGCATAAGTTTCTTGCAGTTCTGCCCATGCTGCTGATAGTCCAGAGTCGATAGCGGTCTCATCTTCCACGACTTGTCGGATATTTGTGAGATGCTCTTCCACCTCACTTGCCCTAAAACTGCTGTCCATCTTTTGAAGGCTCCGTAACATTGCTAATATCTCCGCAAGCGTCACCTCCGTCTCATCTTTGGTCGGAGGTACAACTAGTGACGACACCAAATGGTGCACATCTCCATCATTGCCTTCTCGCGTCTCACGCTTCAGTTTTTCAATCAGCAGCGCAAACTGCAGATGGCAGAATCGGATAATCGACAGCTGTTTCTTCACATTCTCACTGCTTGTATCTGCACCCTCACGATCTCCACTCGTTTCCTTTCGGAGCTTATTGTACCACAGCATCGGTAGTCGTATCAGGTTCCAAGATACTGCCATTACAAAAAGAAACACACGCAGTGCACAGATCGCGATCAACGCCAGTAGCATGACGTCCTGCCTTGAAAACTCTTCGATGACGGCCTCTTTCCACCACGATGCAGCTTCTTCCCGAACAATCTCTTCGTCCCCTCTAATCACTAAAGCATGCACAGTACAGCACCGCGTATGGCCCGTCAGAAATCAAGCGGTAAGCAGCACCATTCCTCAGTACCGAAAGGGGCGCAAGTACCTTCCAGAATGTTGAAAATGTCTGCCGTCCTTACATCTTTCGTCACGACCTCAATCACTTGTCGTTCACGAGCCCCGTCTGCTAGAATGGGTCCATATTAATAAAACAGGAGTGCCCAAAAAAGCCGCAGCAAGTTAGATACATGAGCAAAACACACCGACAATCAAAATGAGTTAGTGTAGCTTATGGACGGATGTATCCATCATCACGAAACTTAACGACCCAGAGAGAGGGAGGGACATTCATTACCACTGAAGGAAAAGTCCTGCTCGCGGATTTCCATCGTCGATTTAGCGGCTGAAAATGTCCCAAAATAACGCAATCGTAACAGACACAAACACACAAAATCGACAATAAACACCAAAAGAACAACGTCAAGAGGTTCAAAGACGACAACAAAGTCGCGCGACAGAATCGACGACGTGTTCTTCGTCGGAGCTTCACCTCTAGCGCTGGCTGCAATGAGAACACGACGTGTCTGTTCCATGGCGAAAAGCACGATGCAGATCGTCCGATGCACGCACCAGAACGGAGTGGGCTGCTGCATGCGTTCAGTTGTCCGGAGACTGCTCGCTTGAGGCTGGAGAAGAGGACGACAAGGTTTGACCGAATCGACCGAATCGACCGAATCGACCGAATCAGATCTGAGTATCAAATGTTCTTTGAAATAGGAGATTCCCAATTGATTGTGGATGCCCGATTGGCCTAGAGAAAAAAGGTGGAGTGAGTGAACAGCTGAGAGAAAAAAACACTTAGAGAGCAACTGATAAATCATTTTCATCTGTGTTGTCAATTGACGCTTGACCGTTGCTTAATAGCGAAATGACATACATTGTTACCTGAGCTTCGGAAAAGGTCAAATGTCGTTTTTTTCTTGCTTGATGCGTACACTTCCACGTCCGGGTTTACGGTACATCACAACGCTGGTCAAGTCTGTAAAATATGTGCCTTAAAATCGTCGCTGTTGAGTCGGTGTAATAGTCGAATTCTGTGTTACCAGTTACCATGCACTGGCGGAGCCAGCGGCAACAATGTTATCACTTGACCGGCCATATGGAAAAGAGTTGGCGTCAGATCGTCCAAGTTATGAAGTAGTCGCGGTAGCTTTGGCAATCTTGTCATGATCCGAGTCAGTCATATGGAGGACCGACACACTGTCACGTATTTGTAGTCCACTATCGGCCACTTCATTGTATGGTAGATTTTCGCTCTTGTTCGAGAGAAATATAAAGGGAAAACCACTATTTCATCGATAGCAGGAAAGATGAAAAAATGTTCCCTATAGGCGTAGTAGGTGTGGGTTTTTGATGACAGAACGTGTTGTGTAAGCTTCAGCCCCATTAATGCTGGGCGCGGTTGGTCCCAAGGTGCACTTGAGCGTGAGCTTTGTTGAGTACGACAATTGGCCGTGTGCCGAGGAAGCTATGGGTAGCGTTTCGCAACCTCGGCATAATTTATTAGTTCATCTTGGCTTCGAGCAAGTGACGATGGTAAGTACCAACGTAAGTTCACACACACCGTTGCATCGAAGTGTTGCCCTCGTATCTGCTACGCACGTTCGTTGTGAGAGGACAGCATACGTAATTATCGAAATCCTGTGTTTAATATTACCCAGACGATAAAGAGAAGACGCATCCTGTTCGTCAGGATCGGCACGACTAAAAACTATGGAAGGGGAATTTTAGAAAACGACTTGCTTCAAGACAGCTGGATAGCCTGAATCCACCTGTCTTTAAGCAATAAATGCTGTTCGGTGATCAAGGGAACTTGCTCATTGCATTTGCAAGAGCAAACTTTGAAAAATCACACATGCAATGATGCGTCTAACATACTCAAAGGTAATTCAGCTTTTACAGGGTGCCATGAAAGTAGTGGAGGTGGCGCTTATGGCGTAAGAGCTGAGCTTTCCCCCGTATGTAATTTCGGGAACCTTGAGAAGACAGTATCCATCGGGATTGGGCGAGTGGTTGTTTCACCTAAGTGAGTGTAGGTACAAATCTGTCGAGCAGTAATTTGCATTGAGATTGCTGTTTGCGGCTGGGAAGCTATCGGCGCAACGCGTCCTAGAGCTCAGGCTTGTAGACCTTATTTTCGGCGCGGCCATTGACGGTGCTTGTACATCAATATGCAGATTCGTAACGACGTCCGATGCAGCTTAAAGAGGTAGTGCAATCTTTGCATAGAGTAATACTTTCGTGCGATGTTGCTTTTGTAGGTGTTTTTTACGGTGCCGTAAATTTATTAACATTGCCGATGACTTTAGCATGAATGCGCTGTTGTCACGAGAGCACGACGTAATCAAGTTTGCTATGAGGCAATCAAGCTAATTATGCCGTCCTACTTTCGGGGAATGTGAAGGGTAAACTCCGGAATTTGAACACTATGTTTCGAAGAGTGGCCTATATCTATAAAAATGTAGCTGCGGACAAAGGTCCACGTTGAACTGGACACGATCGGAGAAATCTGTCGTTATGCACTGCAACCTATGTCATCTTTCCTGACACAAACTGTATAGTCCAGCAGATTTTTATCGAACCTATGCTGGATTGCTAAAGGAGTCAGTCATGAGGAGATTTTTTAAAAACAACCTTATGTATGTGTTATCGATGTTAAATGATCGATGTCGGTTGTACCCGAGGTATGGTGGTGCAAGTATTGGTCGTACGATGGTATTGTGGTGTAAGTGTGGTGAATACAGTAAAAGTGCCATCCGGCGCGCACAATCGAGAGTAAAGATCGTACTAGCTCAGCTCCTCATCATAACCATCACACAAAGCTGTTCATATGGCATTAGACATGTTCCCGCTAACATTTAGCGTAACTGTCAGTATCGTCACGCAATTGCTACAGTGCCTCATGAACCATGAACGTCAAAGCTATAATGTACCGCATTGTTGTGAGAGACGCCGATTCGCCATCATCTACCGGATGACTGATGATCTTGGCGGCCACGTATCAGCCACCGCTCCTTTTAAAGCATTTGTCAGGGCGTGATCTAAACTGTGCTTCACAATAGGGAATTCGCGCACAACTCGGCAGAGCTGCAAATATGGCACAGAGAACTCGAGCGATCAGTGGTTTCTAGGGAGATCAACGACGAAGATAGAAGTGGAGCCAAGAGGACGTGGTGTGGTCCCGCGTCGTTCGATCCTCGGCTTAGGTGTATCGGAGGTTACATGCGGTTTTTGAACCGGTTATGTTGTGTGTCCACAACAAGCAGAGATCGGTGGATCTAAGTGGTAAGGTCTCGTAACCATGTACTTACGGTAATACCGCACCTTCTCGGTTAGGGATAAGTAATACAACTTCTGTCATTGGATCGTAATTAAGTCAGTCCTGCAGGTGTTTTTCACCATTGGGCTTTATGGGTACGACTCTGATATGTAGAAGTCAGACGATGTTTTATGGTTTATTACCGTAGCTAGGAATAAAAGAATTCAGTTCCCCTTTTGAATATTTGGGCACAACTGCCAAGTAAAGGCGTAGTGTGATGTTAAGAGCATTATCCTTGTCAAGTCGCTTACTCTTGTTTAACTAGTAGTGACTAGTAAATGTGTGATTTTGCGAATCGTAATCCCTTTGAAACCGATAATGTTAGGCTTTTCGCTCAAACAACTGTACATCGTTTTTTGTTCTTCGTATCTAAGTAAATTTTGGGCCAAAGATTTTCTCTGTTAAGGAGCGCTAAGTAGCTCTGCTACGTCGCATATTCAGTCGTCAAAAGTACCATTATGGCAAACTAGTGTGGCTTACAACTAGCACTTCTTGATGCTGTTGTCGTACTTGCTGCGCTAACTGCACAGGCTCTCGTCACGATACATTGCAAACTACCCCTCCTTTCAGTGAGATGTACCGCCGTCATGCCATGCGCACGGAGAGTATTCGAGCGACGCTGAGTACTCGTTGCATTGTATGTCTTAACTTTACGCATGCGCGTCGTTTTCTTACAAGCTGCGAACAGTTACTGAAAATTAATTACAAGACCTGTACGAATACATGCTGCTGGTCACTGTTTACAGTGGAAGGACAATTCGTGTCTCGTGGCCACAGGTTGAGCAAGACGTTGCTCACCTGTACAAAATTCCAGACCAGAATGGAACCGATACCAGTACTGCAGTCGAATTTGCCACTCACGTCAAGAGTGTCTTTATGACAGAAATTGATACATCGCAGCGTCAATTTGAAAAATAATCCCAGTCGAGCAAGTGGTGTTCTTCACAGCAATTTAGCTGGAAATGTGTATATCAGTAGATTCTTGAAAGCTGGCCTAAGGAGCGCGTTTTCGTACAAGTTGGCGATTTTCTTATGCCAAACCAGACGCGTACAACCGCACTTGAAGACTCACGACGGTGTTCAAATGACGGTTTGCTCAACCCATAGGTAACGTGGTGCGCTTTAAAAATTAGGAAGCGACAGCTTGCGCTAAACGAGTCATTCTGTGGCGTTTGAGTGGCATCTGTTTCGACATCTGCGTTCACACAAGGGTTCTATCTTTCTCTTTCGAGCTCACAACACCTAAAGAACGAAAGTAAGATGAGTGACTACAGGTGGGAGTCTTTTAAATGGATATACAGATGCTGCTTGGCGAAACCGCGGTATAATTTCATGACCATTTTTCAGTTCATATCTCTGGCCGTATCTCAGCAATATTTCGCCTGTAAATCCGTAAAAGGCATACATAAGGTATGACCAAGGGCATAAACTTGGTGCTTCTGCTGGAGCTAATCAAGTTGTATTAAAGTCTGACGCTTCGAATAAAGTTTGTGTGCCTCTTCGAACTTGTTAATCTATGTTCGAGCACATTACGCCGAGTTTTTACCTTGTTTACGATGGAAGATTCACCTCAGCTGCCTGTATTTTCGACCAAGGGGACGCGCGGTTTTTACGTAGTGACGACTGGACTGACGCATCTATTGGCGAAAATGCAAGATGGTAAGAGTGTTTTAAAGTTTGGCTGACCACTCTCGGCGGACAGGTACAGCCACAATCGGTTTTTAAAATGGTGGGATGGTAGAAAGCCTATGAATCATTGTTTGTAGAACGTTAAAACAATATCAATTCTACTTTTACAGCATCCTCTACACCAATATAATCTGACAGGTATGAGCCCAAACGGCGAAGAAGTCGCTGCGGCTGAAGGTCGTCAGCAGCGCAGGGCAGAGACCGGTCGCGATAGGACCGGCGCCCTGGAGCAGAGAGAAGAGGTAAAAAGATGAAGGAAAAGCAGAGCAAGCTGTTGGACGTTCTAATGGACCCCACGGAGCTCATGGAGCCCATGGAGGCTTTGCAAGGGTGACTTTAGGAATGGAGCGTTTTGAGGGCTATGATGTAAGCGTTTTTGCTTCGGTGTTGGAGCAGAGCAAAGCCGTGACCAGAGAGTCGTTGACAAGTCGCCACCGAGGAGTGTGTCGCCCGGCGTATCACCATCAATGTACTATGGTGCATGACATCCTGGATACGCTGGCACAGCGACCAGTGTTGAGCGCAAGCTCAACAACCAGTACTGCAGCAGCATTGCGTGACACCACCCATTTACCATCCGGCGCCCTACCAAACATGGCACCAGGATTACAATATGTCCGTGTGCCGGAATACGCGATAGAGGAAGCTGGGCATCTGACCTTTTGATGATAAGAAACTTTACAAGGTCTTGGAGGTGAATTCACATCGTGGAAAAAGAAATTTGTGAGGCATATCATGTTTGCAGAGCGAGCAAGTGGTCCAGTGGAGTGAAGACGTCAACGTAGACGTGCAAGGGCACCACTTGACCGGGATTTCTAAGCGACATTACAACTGACAAATTGAAGGGTGGTGGGAAGAACAACCAACGATAGACCATGCGATGTAGCGTCTACTCCATACGTTTGCGACAAAGATAACCCCCGCGCAAAGTATGAAGGTTTTTACAGCTATCAGAGCTCCAAGAGAAGCTGGACGGAGCACTACGTGTATTTAACGGCGATGTATGAAGCGTGTGGAGGTGCCGACAACCTAGTTTAAAATATCATTATGCATCACGCTGACCCTAGTATAATGGTGTCGATACCGGCGAGGTCGAACCTCACGTGCATCGACTATTTGCGGCAGGCAGAAGATTTTGCGCACTTCGCGCAGTAGACTGAGATCAAACTTTGTGATAATAACTTTGTAAAGAACGTGGTTAACACCGTCGACAATGGGCACCGAGCTGTCCCAAGAACCGAACATGCAATCGCAAGGACCATCGATACATTCGAACGTGTTGCAAATGTGTTAATTCAGGACATCTGAAGATTGCGTGCCCCGGGGGCAGTCCTGAGATAAGAGCGACGGATGATGTCGACTTCGTTCTGGCCATAGATGGATCAACAGTCACGGAAGATTGCTGGATCCTTGATAGCGGATCGATTCGACACCAGGTTGATGGCGCTTCAGTGCTAGAAGACCCTGAGAAAAATATCAGCGAGAGCATTGCTGCGGATGGTGGACACCTGTATATAACGATGCGTATTAGTGAATTAAAAGCGACGACATTACTGGGTTAAATAACCAAGATGCGCTTGACAAACATTTACTTCGCAAAAAAAACTTGAGACGAAAATCATTTCGTATGGCTTATTGGAGGGTAAAGGGTGCGTAATATCATACCGGGGCCGATACCGCGTGGTAGCCGCACTGAACGGAGGGCCAGCTGTTAATAACGTGGGAATAAACAATATCGTGTTGTTCGTGCGCGTACAAAAATGCGAACGAGATACGACGGGACGGGATGTGACGTGCTGATGTCAGCACGTGTACAGTACGAGGAGGACGTCGTTCAGGATGTGCAGAAAGGATCTTTAATGCACTTTTAAAAACAGCTTGCGCACCTTGTCACGACACTGTCATTAAGATAACTAAAGAGGGGGTCCCGCATCATGAATACAGCCCACGGGTGAGATGTGGGCTAACAGCTTGGCTTGCGCCCAATGGAAACAGACCAAGAACCCGCAGTCTCGCAAGGTCACTGGAAGAAACGCAACGATTGACATTATTGTAGAAGCTATATTCTCCAACTAGATAAGACCGATGACCTCTCAGGACAGGATGGGCGACCGTTACATTTAGCATATAGTCGACTATCGGACAAATAAATGTCCTGCTTCTTGGAAACGTATGATGATGTTGCTGCTCAGAAGTTCAAGTACTTCATGGCTTTATTGAGCGACAGTTCAATTATCGGATTCACAAATTAAGGACGTACGGTGGAGGAGAACGCAGGACTTTGGATCTATTCTACTAGGCCACTGGTATTGGGCGGCAGGTGTGCGAGCCACGTAACCAAGCAAGTAATGTATGAGCAGAGCGGATGCACCGCACCATTATGAACATGGTAAGGAGCATGCTGTTCGCTTGTAGATTGCCCTTAAGCTTTGAGTAGAAGCCGCGAAACATACGGTGTATATTCTTAACTGGATTTAGAGCAACGCGAATATGGGAAGACAGTCACCTTTAAAATTGCTTACGAAGACCATCCCAGACTTAAGCGACATATTGGCTTTTGACTAGCCATGCACGGTCATCGAGATGCGAGTGACAAGTCGCTAAGTGAGCGTGGAAAACAAAGAATCATCAATGGCGAGAGTGATGAAATGAAGGGCTGCAGGGTTTATTTGCCATGGGAGAAGATCATCATCGTCACGCAGCACGTTCGAAACGTGGGGTGCTGACCGTAGAACAGAATGCGACGTGTTGTCGTCGTGTGCATCTAATGGAGGTCGATGAATCAATTAACGATAATGGCGGTTATGCGTCAATGAATTGTCCAATATCGTTTCCAGCAGGGAAAATAAAGGGACGAGGACAAATTAAAAAAACTGGACGCGCGATGCGCATACGACCAGGACAAAGGCGCAATAGGCATGCAGAAACTCTAAAGAAAGTGATCAGCCTGATGAAGTGATAAATAGCGTGGTGGAGGCCGACCCGAAAAATTATGGGCAAGCCATGAAGAGTGAGAAAATTGGCTAATTGCAATGTCGGAAGAGCTGCAAGCGTTAGAAGACAACGGAGTTTAATTGGCCGTTTTTGCCACATAATAATAGTCACGTGATGCACCTTAAATGGGTCTACTAGACCAAAACGGAGAATGATACAGATATAAAACGATTAAAGGCTAGATTGGTTGCCTGTGGTAATGAGCAGGTGTATGGCTTACTATGGTGGTACGTTTGATGCTGTTGTGGAGTTGAGCACGGTGAAGGTATTTCTTGTGCTTTCGCTGCGTTAAAAAGTACCAACGAGAAAAGTAGAGATTTCTAACGCGTACGTAAAGTCTGATAAAAAAGAGAGCTTAGATATCTACTTGGCGATTTCACAGGAAATAAAGTTTTAAAGTGGCACTTAACGAAAATGTGGCGTACAAGACATATCGTAACAAGAGCTACAACTGAAGAAGTCTATGGGCATGAGCAGGCGGGCCTTCTGTGGAGCAGCCTGCTACACACCAGGCTGGAGGAGGCAGGATTCACGCAGTGTGAAAACGACATGTGCTTGTACGATAAGCAGCAGGGAGACGATGTGACAACTGTCGGCTTTAATGTGGAAGACTTACTAGTCACAGCGTCCATTCCGAGGATAATAGAGCTGTTATCGAGGCGGTGGTATGTTTATCATTCTAAAATTCGGGCGAGGCTCCTAAGTTCTTCGGTATGCGAGTAAGTTGTAAGGACAAAACATGTGCACAATGGATCAACAAGCGAATATTGAATAAATGCTGAGAAACATGGTTCGAAGGAGGCGAATGGTGTTCGTGTGCCTATTGGTGGAGAAGCTAATGATGTGGAAATGATCTTGTGTTGATGACAACGGTACCGAGCCAAAGCGACAATTCAACGATTTGCGACTTTCTGTCGCTTGTGAAGAGCTTACTTTGGATTGCAAGATTTTCACGTCCAGACATAAGCCTTGCAATTCACAAGGCCACGCGGCGCACTATCAACCTTCTAAAAGTGACTGGAATCTGATGAAGAGAGCCGCAAGATACCCAAAAGAGACCAACAACCTTTAGCTCAAGATGATTGTTCCATGAAAGAAGGAAACAAGGTCAATCTGGCGAGCTAGAGCGACTCGGACTATGCGGCTGATAAGGTGGACAGTAAGTCTGTCACAGGCGAAGTTCTAAACATGGATGGTGCTATTGTGCAGTGGGTGTGCAAAAATCAGACCGGGGTGTCGCTATAGACAATGGAGGCGGAGTTTGCGTCGGCATCGCACGTTGGTCGATAATTGCTAGGACTGAGAGAGTTAATGCGCGAGATTAAACTTCAAGTGGAGGCCTTCATGTTAATGTTCACGGACAAACAGGCTGCTATTAGAAAACTGGAGACCAAAGGAAGTATGTCGGGTGTCAAGCACGTTGATGTGCACATGAAGTTTATGCGCAATTATGCGATGAAGGAAATCGTGAAACGAAGTTTTTGTAATCGTGCAATATAAAGGTGGACTTGCTGACGAAGGTATTGCCGGCGTCAAGGACTAAATAACTATGAAAGTAATTTAATTAGTTGATGACACCTAGTTTAAGCGAGTGTGCGACGACCGAGGAGGAGTATTGGTGAAATTGCAAGATGTTAAGAGTGTGCTAAAGTTTGGCTTACCACTTTAAGCAGGCAGGTGCAGCTAAAATCGGTTTGTAACTTGGTTGGATGGTAGAAAGCTTAAGAATAATTAGTTGTAGGACGACAAAACAATATTACTTCTACTTTACAGCATCCTATATAATTACAAAGTCTATCAGCATCTTCTTTGAGCTGTAATGCTAGCGAGCGCTGAGGCAGAGATCATGCAGATCTTTGTCTATGCGATACAGGGGTGAAATTACTAGACAACCAGTTGTGTCGAGACCGAAGCTATGACCCAGACGCTATTGATCTACGTCCACCGTGGTCGTTCTAAGGTCGCTTGCTTATAAGGTACAACCAATAGTCAAGAAGCTAGATATAAGTGTGTAGAGGGAGATTCTCTACCAAATGTGGTGAAGCAAACTTGTTTAAATTAAACGTCGAGGCTAATTTGTTTAGTGTTAGCACTTCAAATGTCATCTTTAAGGCAGCGAAGTTGCTAGTAGGAAGAGAGGTGTGTTTCATGGTACATACCAAGTAAGGTACATGCACTATGCTAGACGGTGATCAATACGGACTTGGCAAAAAAAATCATAAACCGGCCTCCCCCTCTGCTGCAACTCCTCCATTTTCTTCTCCTCTTACACTGTGCCAATACCGTTTGATCATTGAGCTCTGTGGGAGCACTATTCTCTTCTCCAACGTAGTAAAAAATTGCACCAATAAATATTCGTCCACAAAAAACTACACAATAATTCTCACTGCGAAGACCATCCCAGATCCCGACCGAGATGGCTAGATGTCTCTGTTTTTGCAGCTCAACCTAAACCAGGTTTTAAGACAAAGGTGAGTACCTATGCTGGTGGTCTCTGGGTATCTTAATCCGATAATTTGGGTAAATTTGAATCGGAAGTAAAGTAGATGGTGTTAGGGAAGGTTTAAAACTTAATTCTTCAATTATTAAACTACTACGGTAGAGGTAAGGCGCCACTAAAATCCAACAACTAATATATACATAAGATATTCTCTGATAGTACGTAGGAAGTA